TTCTTTAATTAGCTTAAAGCTAATTGATCTCTTGGAGAACAATCCCTGCACATCATTGGTTCTATTTTTTTCTTCTAGACATTTTAGTTTCTTCATTTTATCATTATGCCAGTAGTTTTAATTGTGTATGTTCCTAGTTTAGCGAGTTGCTTGTGTTAATTCAACTTTTAAGTTGAATTAATTTTGTTAATAAACTCTTGTACATTTGAAGGAAGTTGACTGTGCCTATTCCATACACGTTTCGCATCCTGTTGTTTGAAATTATTAGTTTTATTTAGGGCTGCCAAATATAATAATTGTTTAGCTAAATCTAATGAAGCGCAACATTTTGATGCTCCTGTGCAAAATGTTGCAGGAGCATAAGGCTAAGGCTCTGGTGACACAATGACATGTTATGAAGCAAAACAGGTTCCATCAGTTCAGGCGGGACCGGTTATCCAGGAAGCAACCTCAAACCAAGTTACACCCTGAGACTTACAAGATGTTGTAAATGAAGCCTCATCATAACAACAAAAAACTAAGTACTGTTCTTTGTGCCTATTAAAGTATAAGACAACATTATCTGACTCCATGTGAAAATGATTTTAAAAGTAGGAAGGCTTAATAATTTTGATTGTATTTATTCAAAACCAACAACTCTGATGTTATTGTATGATATTTTTTACTTGTAATATTCTTTATTGTTATTTTTATGTCCATTGTGCCACTCTGAAGGTACGGCATGTTTTATGTTCGAAATGTTACAAATGGTACAATAAAGTAGCATTCCATGGCTTTATTTGGTTAGTTAAATTCTCAAAAATCTCCCACCCCACCCAAAACAAACATAGCACCTGTATTGAGACAAAACAGAATACATTGTTCATTTTCAATTTATGCTTCCATTTAATTGAAGTCTTATGTTAAAATTAATGTGATAATTTTTGTCTCCAAATTAAACAGGACAACAAATGTAAGAATGGACTTCAGCTGTAGATCTTTAATAAATTCTGATTTGATTAGCTGTGTTATAATAATTAGACTTTAGAAACAGTAAATCTGTAAACTACCTGTTAGCAGGTAAACAGCCAAGCTGCAGTTCCTTACATGAGATTCAAGCAGCACATCTGGGGAGTAAATAATAAATGATGGTAGGCTACTCTCCACTAGGTGCGCAAGCTTTACAGTTTTACGTAATGGTGAAGCTGACAATATTTGCTTTTAGACATGATTGAGGAGTACAACAGCATCTGTGTAAAATGAGACATGTGCAGACACACTTGTTTGCAGTCCCACAGATGATCAGCCAAGCACTGGGTAGGCACTTCAGGAACTGCAGCTTTGTGTAAGAGTGTGTCTGTAGTTCTAATTTTCAGAATAGAATTAGACAAAAGCACATTAGTTCACAGATCTGCTAGAATTTTTATAATCACAAAGTTTTCTCTGCCTTCTCCCAGTGCTTCCAGTACTAACTGCAGAAATACACCACTTGGTAAGAAGCAACCAATCAGAGCCAAGAGGAGAGTCATAATGCAGTCGATCGCGCTTGTGTACATGGCGCTCACACTGTCCCTCTTGCTACAGCTTCTGCCAGGATTGGCAAGGCTAATTAGCATGAAGGCACATAAACGGTTTCCTGTAACGGTAAGATGTTTGTCCACCATGAGCACAACTGATCAGTGCATACCTGAGGTTGATTAACAGCACTAAGACTCTCCTCCTAGCTCTGATTGGTTGTTTTTGATTGGGAGCAGTGCATTTCTAGATGGCAATAGTTCAGAGAAGAGGTGGGGGAGCCACATTTTTTTCCACAGATTATCTGTGTCACACCATAGTGACAGTTGCAACAAATATGAAAAAACAAACAAAAACAGACCTTTACAGAAAGTAAAATGAAGTAGATATTTGTGTGTCTGAAACCACTAAAGCAAGTTCCTTGCTCAAAATGTCTGCATCTGATCAATACAACATGTGTTAAATTACCCAACCCTATTGTGAATGTGAGTGATGACATACAGTGATCTCCCATTGCTCTTAGAATCTCCTCTTGGTCTCTATTGAAGCAGTGAAATAACTGGCAGTTCAAGAGCTTAACTTCTTTACAGATATGTTTCACAGTAACTGTTAGAAATAGCAACCTGGCTAAAAGCAGCCAACGGAAAATGGAAAACCAAGCCGGCCCCCAGAGGGACAAGAACAATCAGTATCATAAAAAGTCCTATTAACAGAGGACCTTAAATCAAATATTTCCACTTTGAAAAATTGCAGAAAATTTTCACAAAGATCTCAGAATGCTGTAGATACAAATGGATAAAAAGATCTAGAACAAAGTATAACTTTTAAAAGACAGAAGATCTGAGAGAAAACAATAAGACCTGCTCAACCAGGTTCAACAGGTTTCAGGTCCAAGGCAAGGCTTGTGACAGTACATAAAACAAGACAATGGGAAAATATACTAGTCAGGAGCATCCCTGGAGTATTGGCTTGCTTTTACAAGTACAAGTACCTGACACTGTCGGGCCCACTATCTTGCGTCTTATTAAAAAATAATTAAACTGAACATCAAGAGTTTGCAGGACACCCCGCAACAAAATGAATGGTGTAGAAAAACACTGGAGTTATTGCACATCTGGTAGAAAGGATTAAAGTTTTATAGTTTAAAACAAGTATTTTATTCACTTTATTTTTTATTTATGAAAAAGGGATATTGAATGCAAGATAAACAAGTTAGCAAAAGCTTTTTCTTTTACATAAATAGTCCGTCAGTTGAATACAAAGGTATCTATAACCCAAAGAAGAACAGACAAATCTAACATAAAGATTCTACAAAGAGCATGCTGTACTCAATGCTTTGTTGAGTTTGTAAGTGTGACTGCATTACACCAGTACTAGTCAGGGTGAAAAGTTTCTACCAGTGTAACTTCGTAAATAAAAAGGAGAAAAGATTAGAGATGACATTCTAAGTTTGTCAAATTAGCAACAACTCATGTTGTAAGACTGGGAGTAAAATATCATCTTGTCACAAATGTTTGCCCGAAGTACATTAAAAATATGATGTATTGTTACCGACGCCATTTAATCAAGTCCAATCCATTAAACGTTTTGCCTATTATTGCACTTAGCTAATTGGCAGTTACTGTGGCGTGCAAGCTGCCAAAAGTGATTTAAAAGTAAATGAACCAGCGATTCCACAAAGGGAAGAAAACTGGTGTGTTTTTGCCTCGTCATACAAACATACAGCAACATTATAGCAACCAAAAATATCTGGGCTTAATTAGGTCACTGAACAGCCTTCCATGAGAGCTAAGTGTAATGCAGGCAGTATACACTGCAGTGCTATAATTGTTGCAGGAGATGGGATCTGAGCTGGTAGCTTATACCGAGCCATCATAGAGAGTCTGCAACTTGAGATACACAGCTTCAGTAATAACGTGGAATCCTGCAGTAGCTACATTTAAGTGACACATCTCATAAAGATTGACATTGTTTAGGTTGGTTTATATGCCAACTTGTTAAAACAATAACCATGGTATCAAGCCAGATAAGTTGAATCATCAAAGGCAGATAGAAATAATGTAGATAAACTGAAATAGTCCTTGAGCTCTCGATACACAGACTGTTTTCCTCAGAGGTTTAAAAGGATTTTTAAACCTCTTAACTTCCTAAACATTTTATTATTTTCTCCAGGCTGCTGTTTTACCATCAGTAAAGAAAAAAAAGTTAATTGCCAGTGGAAACACTTATATTCTGGCTGCAGAAAGCTCCTGTCCCTAAACACTGACCAAGGCCTTTTGTGTTGACTTTGCATGTTCCCCCAACTCCCACTGAATATTGAATATAGTATTAGTATTGTTGTTTCTAAATGAATATAAACTTGCTTTCTTTGCATTATTTGGGTTCTGAAAGCACTGCATCTTTTTCATGATTTTGACCATTTCTGCAAATAAATACTAAATTTTTGCTTGGAATTTGGGAGACATGTTGTCAGTAGTTTGTGGAATAACATAACAATGTTAATTTTACTCAAACACATATGTATTAAAAGTCAGATCAGAGGAACTGATCATTTTACATGGTCTCTTAATTTTTTTTCCAGAGCTGTGCACATACATCAGAGCAGTTGTAAAGGCAATACGCCACTGTAATCTCCAACGAGAGAGTGATCAGAACGCAGTCAGGCGTCTTATAATTTCTGGATTAATATCTTTTTCACCACAGTCAGTCATTCAACTCAATAAAAAGACTTTGAATTATTTGAGAAAGCACCGAGGACTGTCGAAAGACATTCGAGCAGAACAGTTCTCCACAGCCGAAAGCGTCTCGCCAGAGAGGCGCGTCACGCATCGATTTTCCTAACTGTCTCCTGGAGCCACAAGCTCCCATCCTCATCCTCTGTAGTAAAGGACATTTTGCGTCATTACTGTACAGCAGAAATATATGTACGGCTGTGTAACTGTGGGCAGCAGTACACACATTATGATTCATTATATATAACCTGTGTGTGTATATATATATATATATATATATATATATATATATATATATATATATATATTTTTTTTTTTTTTTTAAGTCGCAGCTGCATTTTATTACAAACAATCTAGACTTCCCCGACTCTAATTTGCCAAAGTGCGGTACTCCGCTTTCCGGTCTCGAACCACCGATTCATGGAGCGTTCGAGCGGCGCCGGTCGCGAGCAGCCACAACATCAAACGGAGCTCAGAACAGTCTGTCACCGTGCCGCGGCAGAAAAAACATACGTGCGCACCACAGAACATGGCACTGATTCGGCGGACTGGGTTTGTATCAACCAATGGCGTAGGGAGAAACATGTTCTGTTAAATGCGCCAGGGAAGGACTATTTATTTCAGCGCGAGCGAAATAAATAAAAAAAGGACGCAACCAACCCGAGACCCGAAAAGATGTCCTCCAATGACAGTGTCAGTTTTGGTACAAATGATAGAAAATTTTAAACGGGTGAAAAAGAAAAAAAAAAGCAAAACATTACGCTGAGGTCTTACCCGGCTGCTTCTGAGGGGAAAACTCGAGCGGAGGGATTGTTCGGAGGATTATTTTTCTCCTCCCTTTGCCAGAACGAGTCTCTCTGCTCTGTTGCTAATAGTTGTTTTCCCAAAATACAGGGTGATGTGCTGTCAAAGAAGAAACGTCCAAAATGCCTCCTTTACAGCAGCAACGCGTTTACCAACTGAGCCGGACTGTAGAGGGAGACTGCTGCTAATAAATACTGCATGCAAACATCATAGTGATAGTTTGTATCGCGAGAGCACCTGTTATTCTCGGTGCCAAATGTTCTCCGGCAACGAGTTAAAAGCCAGAATCAGACGAATCGTCGCAAGAAGTGAACATCAGGAGCTCTGTATATATACAGATAAAAAGACAGTGGACGAGCATTACAGTACACTGCAACGTCACCGAAAAGTCAGTGCACTGCAGTGATTCAAGTAAAAAAAAAACACAACAAACAGTTAATTACTTATTGTATGAATTATACATTTCAAACGTTTAATTTGTGTCATTTCTTAATGACTGTGGCTTCCCCAAAAAATTGCCCACACACAAAATTCACTTTTTCAAAAACTGGACTATCAGACGAATATAAATAATTTTTAGTAAAGAAATGTGGAAAGAATATTCTGCTTATTTACCAATGTATGCTTATTGGTCCAGGATCTTTTTGAATCAGAACTATGTGGGATGGATGCAGTCAGTCTGTGCTGAATTATGAAGACAAACCGGGTTCCTCTAACCCGGCTCCCACATTTCCCAGAGATTCTTTGCAGCATTTTGATCAGGCCAATTTCCTCCTAAGTGATGGTTAATAAATCAACTTTCCTTTTTCTCTCCAGACACTAATCATTAATGGAGGAGAATGCTCACATTCGTACCGGTTGCTCAGACAAGCGGATGTGTGTGAATGTTCCTTTTCTAGCTGTTGTTCTTTCATTTTCGCCACTGTGCCACCCTACACTTTATATTGTACTACAGTGTAGCTGTAAGGTCTGATTCTGAGTCGTTGTTGCTGCAGTGACAGCTGTTTTAAGCGCTTCTAGACATCTGTGGCCAAGATTCACTTCAGCAATATTTTCTGGATTCAACTTGCTCCACTTGTTCAGCTTCACCTGCCTGAGTGCAACCTGTTCACCCTCCAACGCTCACTCTGTGTCCCTGCTGCAGAATCCTGCATCCTGAGCTCCAGGACTCATTATTCTACCCAGTCAGCCAACAACCTCCAGCTGCACTGTCCTCTCCCTGGCGTCCATCGTTGATATGATGCCAATTTACAAACCTGAATTGGCTCCAGGTCAAAATCTTTCATTTTTTTTCTCCCACAGGCTTCTGATAAGTTAACTGACACATTTGAGTTAATTGGAGCCACGCCTGTTGATGTATGAAAATGTAAACGATCATTAACTATATGACTGATGGCACTGTTCTGGTTTTACATTAGATCCAGCAATCACTACACTACAGTCTGAATTTAATGCTTTTCAACAAAATTTGACCACCTTAAAATCCAGTTACAAAAAAACTAAACTGGTGATTTTTTTCTCTGAGTAAACCCATTTTCGTCAGTGATTATTGAGCTATATTTTGGAAAAAAAATGATGGATTAGATGAAATAAAGTATTTCATGTCCAAAATGTTGCTTGACTTATGTTGCAAGTGCGTCTGTCTTAAAGTGTTTAATCTGGTTTGCATCCCAGAAGCAATACTGTTGAAGCTCATCCTTTCTTTCTTTGTGCTCACAAGTTTATCTCAAAGAACTTTTAAATAAAAATCAAGAACACAGACACACACACACACACACACACACACACACACACACACACACACACACACACACACACACACACACACACACACACACACACACACATGCATACAATCAATTCTTCTGGGATGTTGTATTTGTCTGCTGTTGACTTTTCTATCTTTTTTTGGAGCTTCAGATTCCCACAGAGTTCTGTTGTTCATCTAGTGGCTCGTAAGAGTATTCATACCCTTTGAGCTTGTCCCTGTTTTATCACATTACAACTACAAACAGAAATCCATTTCTTTGGAGTCTTGTGCAAAAGACTGTCTGTTTTCGGTCGACATTGTTGGTTGACCGAAAACAACCAACAAAGTTGCCGACAGCTGTGAAGGAATGAGCAACAACACTCAGCCTCCTCTGAGTCAATACTTTGTGGAACCACTGTTGCTGCTGTCTCAGCTGCTATTGTTTCAGGGTTTGCCTCTAATAGCATTGCACATCCGATGTCTGTGAGCAAATTCTCTGGGTTCACGTCTGGACTTTGACTGGGCCATTCTAACATGTCAATACATTTGCTTTTAAACCGTTCCATTAAGTTTAGTGAGTTTGTCCTGCTGGAAGCTGGACCTCCGCCCCATTCTCCAGTCTTTTGACTTCAGCAGGTTTTCTTCCAGCATTGCTCTAATGCAGGGACGTCAAAGTCAAACACACTGAGGGTCAAAGAACCAAATTTACTGCAAGCCGAGGGCCGGACTGGTTCAACGTTTATTAAGATATATTGAAATGATTGCACATAGCCTATTGAACCAAGACCTAACACAGTGTATATTATTTAATAATTAAATGAATAAAGCAATATTTTGTGATGGCTCTGTCAGTATTTTCAAGGGAAAACATTTTCAACAGGCAAATTTAATTGTTTTGAAAAACAAAATATGTTTCTTAATATCAAGATAAATAATTAAATTAAGATGTATGCATTATAAACTGAAAATGCATTATTGTGCTGCTCTATGATGTTCATATTCTTGTCTTTGTGTGTTTCCGAGAAGTTTGATAGTGCCTTCTTAGACTTAGTACAAAAAAATGTTAGCAATTTGTGCATGTTTTTGTGTGGTCCACTATTGTATGGAAAACTCTAAGAAGAATTATAAAGCCCCCATCCTGCTCCCAGCCTCCAGGTTGTGTGTTACGGCCCTGTGTTTGGCATCAGAGATCAGCGCACAGATCTCCTCCTGCGGCTCCACAGCTCAGATGGCTGCACAGATTAGCGACACTTATGTTAATATTAATAATTATAATGACGTTCAGTTGCACAGCTTTACAGACACGTTCATTCGTGGCTGTTTTCGCGTTTATTGCGCTGTTCATATTAGTTTCGATGTTTGCGGTTTTCTGGATCCTTGACTTTGACATATGCGCTCTAATGGCTCCATCCATCTTCCCATAAACTCTGACCATCTTCTTTGTCTCTGTTGAAGAGAAGCAGCCCTAGAGCAAAGTTTCTTCTTCTTCTGTTCACTGTGTCCAACATGGCTTCTGTCAAACTGCAAAAAGGACTTCTTATGGTTTTCTTTAATGCTTTCTTCTTGCCATGTTCCATAAAGAGTGGCTCAGGTGGAGAATTACTAGTCCACCTGAGCTGTGACTCCCTGCATCTGGTCCAGAGTCACCATGTGTCTCTTGGCTGCATGTCCTCTGGTCTTGGTGTCTTTACAGTTGTTCCATACTCTCTCCATTTCTGGATGACGGATTGAACGGAGCTCTGTGAGACGTTCAAAGCTTGGGGAATCTTTTTATGCCCTGAACCTGCTCTGACTTTCTCCACAGCTCCTCCCTGCTGTGTTTCTCCAACTTCATGATGCCGTTTGCTCCAGTATTCTCTGAACCTCTGAGGCGTCACAGAGCAGCTGGATCTGTACTGGGATTAGATTATACACCGGTGGACTTTATTTAGTCATTATCATTATGCATCCCCAGCAGCCCCTGAGCGTCCAGAGTCACACATGAAACCTTGAATCAGGTAGACTCAGTAGACTGAGGCTACGGCTCAGACAGGTTGATAAAATTGGACGACGACATGTAGAAACATAAGCTCCACTTTCAGTTTTTAAAACTTGGTGTGAAACCTGAAAATGAATCATGTGCAGTGACTGATGTGATTATGAGCTAAACAACATTTGTCCTACGCTCAGATCAATGTCTTTTTAATTCCCTAATTAACTGTACAACAAAAAGTGTAAAAAGCAGAACATAAAACTGATCAAACAAGGACAAAATGAGACAGAGGTCAGCGGTGATGTGTTGGCTGACCCCTAAATTTGATCCTGCTTACCTGTATGCGGTTCCTCCATTTGTATCAAATGTATCTGATTTTCTTTGCTTCTTCTCGTTTCTCCTTTACAATTACCGAATCCAACCAAATCCACCCGTGGACAGCTTTTAGAGAATTAAAGAGTCAAGGCTGACGCTCAAGTTATTTATTACATGATTGATACAGTGTGGTCTGGAACTGCAGATGCTGTTCAGTGAGTTTCACTCTTCCAAGCTGCAATCCATCCACTTCTTCTTAGCAAGTCTTCAGCAGTTGTCTTTTCTGATTTACAAGCATTAATGTGAACATCAGTAACTCTAAGGCTGCATTCAGACCAACCCAGGATTAGAGTCCTGAATCAGACTCTAATCCGTTTGTCAAGGAATTCTGAGTTTTTGGGGAGGTCTGAATGCAAATTTGAATTCCAAAACGGACTTAAAAACCAAACTCTGATCAGCCTGAAAACCCAGGTCTCAGTCCGGTTGAAATGGACTCTAAAACGGTAGAAAACCTCTTTTGAATGCAACCTGACTAGAATCTTTTCCAAAAGCAGAAAATTGACTACTGCACAGGGCATTCTGGGTAAATACAACCAAAATAAACGCGTGTTTGTACAATTAGTGAATAAAAAATGGCCCATGGACGTGGAGTGAATAGGACGCAAAGGCCCTGACTCATCTTCCCCTCTTCCCGAGTCCATCATTGAAAGTTTTCTGTTTGGTGCATGAGTCACAGACAAAATAGAAATCCTAAAACTACAAAAACTCCACGCAGCTCCATTTTCGTTTACAGAAAAGTTCTTGCGCTCTCTGTCTTCTTCAGAAGTTTTTGCCCCACAGGCGACGGGGCGACAGGTTTTCCATTTAGTTTTAGTCGTTTGACTCAGTGCAGTGTGAACGCGAACTGCAGTTCTGAAAATGTAACAAATGTTGCAATTTTAGTACGAAATCGAAGAGTCTACCAGACTATCCTGTCTGAATACACCCTAACTTCTCTTTTGAATAAAATAACAACTATACCAAAGTTAAAATAAAATTTTATTAGTTTCGAAATGAAATAATTAGATTTTTGTTTCTGGGGTTTTAATTTTTGCTTTTTTGTTTTTTTGTCATACGGCAACTTTATTACAAACCAAACAATTTGCTGCTAACTGCAAACCAACCTGATAAATGAGACGAACCCATGTTTGTTCTAGAAAACACTAAAAGTTGTAAAATTGACGTTTTTTGAACCATAATAAGTGAAACACTAACAAACATTTGATGTGTAAATACAGCACTGGAAAAGTTGTTGTATTTTTGTGCTTTTATGATGTGAAACACTGTGAACTGCTTTGCTGCTGAAATGTCCCGTACAAATAAAATTTGATCTGATTTGCTAAATCCCTCCTCCAAATTGGTTCGGTCATTTCAGGGACGTAAAATATGCAAGTAAATGGCTCCAATAGATCAGACCTAATGTTAAAGACAAGAAAGAACTGAGTAATCGAACAAAAGGCTGGAGAAGATTGTATTGATAGAGAAGTCACCTAGTCTGTCTGTAATAAATATTTGACTATCACTAAATATACCAGTTTACACTTTCTTGTTTCATTGCATCAGCATACATTTAGAGAATATATGCTGTTCTGTTAGTGTACAAATGAGATCCAGAGAGTTAAGTGCTTCTGTTGGTCTTCATCCAGCAGGCAGTGAAACAGCTCTCTCAGGCTAATCTCTAATGGCACACAGAATACTGTGTGCTGCTGAGCCAGATCTATTATCTAAATGCTACTGCAGCAACACTGTCTTGGCATAATACATCAATCTGCTTTTTGCTTAGCCTCCCTGTTGCTCCACTTCACATCCACTTTAAGATGCTGTAATTTGCACCACTTGCACACCCTGTGCTCACTGACATCAACACATCCACATGGTAGCACTGCTGTGCACTTTATGGTAACGTGAAGTAAGCAGCGTAAACAGGAGGATCCGGTAAGGAGAGAGGCCTAGTCCATACATAGCCTGGGCTCGGCAGAGATATTTGCTTCCATAAAATAATCTTGTCCACACCTGATAGGTTTAAGAAAAGTTCTTATCCACACAAACTCTCTGAATTACACGACAACCAATCAAAATCGGTCAACTCAACCTTGACTTCCTGTCAGGAATTAAACATGGTACCAGGGAGGTTGAGCAACTTTTAAATGACGTGTCGGAATACAAAGTTAATAAAACACGTCATTAGCTTTATAATGAAGCTAATAAAGTGCTATTACACGGTCAAAGCCAGTATGTGCACATGTGTTGACACATGAAGTGGAAACGTAGAGGTTGAAGGTCATTTTGCATCCATATTGGGAGGGACAGCTAGTGTAAAACACTTGACCTCTGAACACTCTCTCCTTTGCAACTCAATGTATTGGAGCCGATGGACTTATAAAGTAGAAAGTGTCTGAGCAAACATAAACATCAGCAACTTCCTGACAGCAGCCATCTTTCCTCCACTGCATGGCCAAAGAGTCACAATGTCATTTCAGCGTTGCATTATTTGCAACGCATGATTTAGAGGTCATGCGTCTCAGGTTTCCAACATTCACTAGCAAATGCAAACAAGGAGAATTCACAAGTCTTCACTTTGACTGGAGGTTTTATTATTCACAGTTTTTGTTATATTAAATGTAAGTTACACGTTAATACAAGGTCAAATCGCATAAAAGTCTGTTGAGTTCATCACAAATCTGGCTGTGTGTGAACAAATCCTAGGAGAAGTACCAGGACTTGCGTGAACAAGTCCTGATATTTTACAATGCACTGGTTAAATATTGAAAGAGTTTGGTGAAAAAATGGACTCATTACTGACTGACTGCAGCTGCGAGGGAAACGGCACCGAGGAGGAAAACACAAACAGAGGAGCTTAAAAATATGAATCTAAGTGAGACGAAGAATAACTAAACACAATAAATTAATAACACGATCTGGGTAAAATAACCAAAGAACAGGTCGAACTAAAGTAAAACAGGTCAAAGGCTGAGCTAAACAAAATAAAGAATAACTGAGGACTAAAGTACAAACCCAGGATCCTGCGGAGGGTTAACAGCTAAATTGTATGGAGGACAGTCCCAGCACTCTGGTGTGGGTCCAACACGTCAACACTGATTCTGAGTGAACTTGGCTCATTAAATAAGGGCACATTTACAGTTTAATATACAACATAAAGCACAGCTGGATTATAACAAACTGCTTTGAAAGCACTGACAGTAAAATGTGCATCATCATTAGGACTTTATTCATTCTCATCCTATGAAATAATACTTAGTAGAGTGCTTTTCCTGACATTAACTAAAAATTACAATCTTAAATGTTCTCCTTATTCTGACTCAAGAAATGGAAAATAAGTGAAGAGAGTATTCAGTTCAAGATGTTTTTCATAAACTGGTATTTTACAATGCAGTTGGGTTGATCCACACAATGTCACAGGATTTGTGATATTGTGTGTTATTAGACAAGTTCCAAGATCTTCAGTGATTTGTTGCTTTTGTCTGATCAACTGCTTGCTTTGCTCAAAGGCTTTGTTAGCAATACTCTGGCTGATTAGTCAAACATGTTCCAGTTTGTGTAGTAACAATTTGTTTTGGGTGAGATTTCCTTTGCCAGGGTACAAAAACCTAGGATTTCAGGTATGGGAGCTTAAATATCTGTCATATTTTCAACAATGACAAAGATTTAACTCTAAGCAAGAGCTTATAGAAGAAACATCTAAAAGCATCTAAACCTCCACAGAGACACATAAATAACAAAACATTCAGATCTTTCTAATTTTGCAGGTAAACAGAAACAAGAAGGAGTTTCTTCATGGATCATTGCTGAGCCTAGACATCCCAGGATCCCCGAATCTCTGGCCTGAGAATCCTCATCTTCAGAAAAACAACAGAAGAAAAGAACAAGTCAGAAAACGGGCAACCTCATGATTAAATTTGACCAGAAATTCATGTTTGTCTTCACCAACCGGCAGATTGAACTGGGAATCCATGTAGGGTGAGGGTGACATGGGAGCCTTGTCATATCCAGGATTAGGAAAGGACAAGTCGTATCTGTGCAGGTTCTGCGGCAGTGAAAACTTGCGTTGTGACGGGTTGGACTGATTGCTGCCAGATGTGAAAGGCATCTGCTGGTTCCCGTACATAACTGATCTGTTTTCTGTGAAGGAAAAGGGTCTTATATATATATCCAAGAAATGCCAAAACAATGCAAACTTCAATGGATGACTCACATCACATTCCACCAGAATGAGCACTGTCAAAGTCTTTCTATTGTTCAAAGGGATTTAATGTGTTATCTGTGCTTTATTGGATCGAATGACATTGTGGGTTCTTGTAAAATTCAGAAAAGTGTCAAGAGATACAGCTCTGGAAAAAATGAAGAGACCATTGTTCTGAAGTCTGTTGAAAACCTCACTGTTATTCCACAAAATATTGATTTCTGAATTCTTCCTCAGTTAAAACATTGGGATTAATGTTTCTAAATGAACATGAACTTGTTTTCTTTGCATTATTTGGGATCTGAAAGAGCTGCATCATTTTCTGCAAATAGAACATCTTTGATTGGAATCTCAAAGACATGTCAGTAGTTCATAGAATAAAAGAACAATGTTCAGTTTACTCAAACATATAACTATGAGAAGGAAAATCAGAGAAACTGATCATTTTAAGTGGTCTCTTCATTTTCTCCATAACTTTACGTGACACATTTGTACCCAAAGATTTACTTTTTAAACTCAGACTAAATAGTATAAATGTTGCATACAAATCTCTAGTATTTTTTATGAGTTCCGCAATTCCAAATTATTTTAGAATACTTCCAACATGTATTTTCAAAAAGAAAAAACACTTTTTTTTGTGCAAGCACATTTTTTTCTTAGTTTCCCTACTTATTTAGGCCCAGATATAAATAGTTAATAAAGAAAAAAAATCAATCATATTCCAATTTCTATATCTCTTGACACTTTTCTATTACTCACTTGCACACATACAGTGCGTATGGATTAGAAACTTACTTGTTCCTTGTTTGTCTAGTGAACTTGCAGCTCTGGACCACTCAAAGTCATCATCCAACCACTGGTTCACCAATTTCTGCTTTATGTCTTTCTTTCTGCAGAAACAGAGTTTAAGTAAAATACTGAGAATTTTTATCTGTTCTTAGATTATTGCTGAGCCGAAAATCAGCTTGGATTGAGAGTGATATCAGTGCCTATAACCTTTAACCATGAACACTATTTCACTTATGTTTTATTTGCAATCCGTCCATCATACACGTTCTCAAATTAGTCAACATGGAAGCTGCTGGGATATGTTTCAGTTTTTCTATTTGCTGTAAGATCAGCTAAGGTGTTGGTAGCTAAATAAGAATGACATTAACAAACTAACAAAAACAAATCTCTTGCTGAAGCATCGTTTTCTGTGTGTGCAGCACACACTGCTGCAAGAACAACCAACATTTGTTGGTTGTTCAAGAAGCACTCAGTAAAAAAATACTTCATTTCTGTATTTAAAGATTAGTAGAATAAAAGTGTGTGACCCCCTTCAAAAACCCACAAATGACTCTTTACTGTTCCCAAGCTAATGGTCTCTTCCATCCCAGCCTCCCTGAGTTGGTGACTTTAGTTTTCCATGTGAATTAGTTTTCTCTACCACTAATTTAATGTAACACGACACCATGTCTGTAGGAAGCTCTGCTTGCTAATGTGAAGTACAAAGAACGTTTTCAGCATAAGACGAAACACCAAGTCTTTTTTATCCCTTTTGTTAGTGGTGTCATGTTTTGTAACATATCACAGCTTACTTACTTTGTGTGTTTGCGTTTGTTGACAACAGCATATGCAACCAGGGTTGCCACAGCAACTAACAGGACAGCAAGGGTCACACTAAGCCCTGCATAAAACGCAACTTTCTGTATGGGAAGGTCACAACGTTCTCCCAAGTACCAGGTGTTGTTCACATTTTCACATCTAAGGAAGGAATAAATCAAAACACAATTAAAGACATTCAACAAAGTGTAATACATTATTTCAATATTGATAGAAAAATAGAATTGAGATGCTAAACACTAAATCGTATAACAACCTGTTCGCTAAAAGTTATGTTTTTCCTTCGGTTTATTTAGTACTTGAGCAGGAATGCTTATTAACTGACATGCACCAAATCAGCGTGGTCGACTGTGATGCACTGAACTGGAGCACAGGACAGTATCTTCAATTAAACATCTTTAAAGTTAAATAAACGGTAGTGAGGACTGAAGAACTGCTCTGTTCCTGGAAGACTGCTTGTCTATTTTGACCTTCATGAATGTACTTACTGTAGCAGCTCTCTCATCATTTGGAAATATAGATTAAGTTTGACTAATAAGTCTCCATTCAGGTATTCAGAAATTATTTAAGTTAAGAGAGAATAAATATAATTTGCGAGGTTTGTTTATATTTGAATGTGCAAAAGAGAAGAGCCAGATAAAGTCTAGATGTATTTCAGTTATTGGTGTGAAATTGTGGAACAAACTAAGTGATGAATTTAAGTTATGTTCTTTTTAAATAAACTTTAAAAGAGCGTTAAGATGTAAAATGATAAAATCTTACGCTATTATTTAGATTTATATATGTATTGTGAAAATATCCTGGTAGGTTAAAGGGTAAATTGTGGGTTATTTATTGTTTATTGTTATTTCTTTGTTGTTTCTGGTGATGTGGACAGTTTACCAAAATAAAATGAATGAATGGATGAAAAAGTATAACTGCAGTTTTTCTGAGTTAGAGTCTTCATCTCTATAGCAACAGAGTTGTTGAAATTGGAAAAGTGAAAATGTTATATTGTCTGTCTGGTAAAATCAGTATTAAAGAAACAAACACATCAACATACATGCAGATCTCTCCCAAAACTTTGTAGATGTTGCAGGTCCCCCCATTATGGCAGGTTATAGATTCGTCATGCTCTTTGTCACATCTGCTTCTACAGACGATTGTGCGATTTTTTAATTCATAAAGACTGAAGTATGGAGCTACATCCGAGTCCGGCATTGCTTTCCTACAAAAACCTACAGAAAAAAGACAGAAGATTTTAGTAAGATCATGCCAACTTAATCCTCCCAACTCCTTTCAGAGACCATGAGACAGAGACAGGATACAGCAGGGTACACAGGTTACTACTTCATCACACACATTCAAGGCAGGGCACAACGAGGCAGCCGCAGACTTACACATCCATGTCTGGGGGTAAACCAGAGTACCCAGAAAGAACTCACATACAGCAAGAAAGAGGAGAAAATGAGGTTGAAGAGCATATAATTAAGGTCAGCACAAAGATTGTGGGTGGTGGTGCTTAAAAGACCTTCATCGGTTCTTCAGAGCAAGAGTCACTAATTGCAGTGTTGTAAAGAAACTTCTTATGACTGGAAGATGTGTTCAGAGGTGGATCATTTGGAAAGCCAGGGCTTTGAAAAAGATATTTTCTGTCTGAAAAACTTAAATGTGTGTAGGACTTTGTGGGTTTTTTGGGGTTTTGTTGTCCAAATGTAGGCCGAACTTTGTTCGCTGAGCGTTACCTTTTACCAATTGTCCGATACAAGTGATCACACAAACTGTACATCCACCAGTTGATGAAACACAGCAGCTTAATTTAAAATACACCAATAAAACATGAGAAGTGAGAACCTGCCTTAACTTTATTAATCATGTGCAGATGCTCATAAAAGCATAAAAACTTTCTGCTTAATATTTCTTACAAGATTTTAGTAATTTAATTACATTTGGAAATATTCACAAATCACATTGGTCTTGGTAAAAAAAACTAATCTGACATATTCCTTGAACCTCGTTCTTCCCTCAAACATGACGTACTCCATGTAATGGAAACTCCTTTTTGTGTGCTAACCCAACCCAATGCTCACTCACAGACTGTTATTAAATGATAATATTGTTTTTACAAGTAAAACATAGCTTGCCGATACAGTGCTGAAACACTTACCATCCTTGTCTACTTCTTCTTCGGCCGTTCTGAAATTTGTGATATTATCAGAATCTAATAATGGGACAAGAAAGAAAACAGTTACTTGAGCTCAACAGAAAAAAAATAAGCATCACTGAGAATTTGAGTTGTGATTTCTTTAAGAATATTTTTTTTTATATTACCTTTCAGATTATTAAGTGTTTTTCCAATCTCTTTATAGCCCTCATCATATTGTGTTTCATGGTTGCCGTTTTCAACTTCCAGAACCACTTCATGTGCGACATTTACACTGGGAGAGACAAATTTTCCGGAATTAGCTAAAATTACGATATTAATCCTTCTCTTAAAAACAGGTACAACTGTTTTAGTATATGAAATACACTTTTTTTTCCACTGCTATTGTTTGTATTCACAAAATATTGTGAATGTTATAAGCTTTCAAATATCAGACAGTATCAACTGCTGCTCCTCTCAGACGTGGTGGCTCCGTTTTAGTCCTGTTACATTTTTCATATAGCTGGGTATATTTCCCAAAAGCATAATACATCATTCCATCACTATGTACATGACATTCAGGAAGTCCGTCTTCCTGTAAAAGCGAGTTGATCCCAGTCAGCAGAGAATCTTCTATAGTATTTGGACAGAGCAAAAATTGCTCTATGTAAACAATAGAAAGACAGAAGTTTATCTGGTGAATCCAACCTGCTGTCTGGAAGCACCAGAGTTGGTGGATCATTGAACTCGTCTGGCTGTACATCCATTAGGAATCTTTGATCCAGATTTTAAAATGAACATGTCACTACAGTAATCTAGCTTTTATCATCAGAGCCTTTTTAGTAATTATTTTCCCCAAAATGCCTTTGACATGGTTATTAATTCTTTTATTACTTCTAGGCTGAATTTTCCCAACTCCCTCTACCTGGATTGACGTGTCTCTTTTTCGTCTGTCAATACGGATGAAGCAGAAAGAACATTTTGTCCCATCGTATTGAATTTCCTTCACCGGCTGCCTTTATTTTATTTTATTTTTTATTTAATTTTTTAAAGAATTGATAAGATCTTGTCATTACTTTTAAATGTCTAAATGGTTTGGACCTTCTGAGGTTTTTACATGCACAGAAGAGCTCTACCAACAACAGACTCTTCCCAGAACTTGGCTTGTTACCACAAGAGACTGAGCTTTGTAAGCAGGCGCTGGAACATGTCTGTGAGGTCTGGTGGATCTTTGAACCATTTCAATTCTGTCGTGGCAGTGGTTGATTGAGTAGGACACAAATGCAGATGCATCATAGGTTATTAAGGCAAGTTCCCGGTATAACAATGTAAGCAGAAGGCCTGCTGGTGTGGTTTGAGCGAGATGAAGTCTGTGAACAAGGCCTACTCAAGGTTTAGAGAGTTCATTTTATTTATTAATATCATTTGTTCCAATAATGAAGAACTTGCTTACTTAGCGAAGCCAACAAAGAGTTCATGGAGGCACTCTGAAGTTGTTAAACCTCAATTTTTTAACATTTCCTTTGAAAAATAATGTATTTCAACAGAAAAATAGAGGTTTTTGTTTTGTTTTGTTTCTTTTTCTGAAGTATTAATAGAAAATCCTTTCTTTTTCCCTAAATATTTCCATTTATTTATGCCTGTCTGATGAAGGAGTTTCTTTAGGTAGATGCTATTTAGCATTGTTTTGTTCAATCAACAAAACAGGTTTTCACTTTTTGCTTTGAAAAAAAACACACAAAAAAAACATGTCCACTTATTTACTTGCTTGTGCTTTCTTTCAAGTGGAACACCTCTGCTTTGACTTTTCTTATCTGAAATAAAGATAAAATAAAGAAAGAAATTAGTGAGCTATGAAGCTCACACTCGGGTTTATTATTAGTTTGCTGGAGTATTTAACCTGCTTTACCTCCTCTGCAGCGAGATCAAACGTTGAATCAGGATCTTCACGGCTAAGAGAAGTAACGACAAGAATCTCGTCAAATATGACTTTGCAATTTAAAAAGTTTTATACAGTTTATTGCTTGAAATCACATTACTGAAATATTTCTTTTGGAATGACCATATATTGACTGTATTCTGAGCAAATAAGAATAAACAATGGCGTGTTTACCTTAATCTGGTCACAATAACATCTTTGAAATGCGGAACCTCTTTGTATACTGGTCTCATCTGAAAAGAAAAACACAGTGATGGTGGCTACATAACAAATAATCCCACTTGTAAAAACATATTAGTTCTAATTTCATGAGTGCTTTTTCAGCATGAAGCATGTTTGTTGAGCTAACTTAATAGTCATGAGTTGAATCAACTTATTTAAGTGGTGTGAAGGCACCACTGTAAAATAAGGTGGTGTCAACTAAATCTGCATTCACCTTAATCAAGTAAAGTCAATTATTTGAGCAAAACATTACAAAGTAGTTGGGCTTGCTCTATTAAATTACATTGGGTCCAACCATAGTAAATGGTTGGACCCATTTGATTCAACTTAACTTTTAAAGTTGAATCAACCTTAAAAGTTAAGTTGATCCAACACAATTGCTTTAAATTGGAGTGACAGAATTACATGGTGAAGAAAAAATAAAGCAAAGTAATCAGGTGGAAGTTCTTTCCATTATTTTTTATGGTCATCCAAAGAGTTATTTTTTTCAGTGTATGGAAGAGAGGTTTTTTTTTCTTTGTCTTCCAAAGACCCATTTTCTAAATTTGACCAATTTTTTTTTCTTGCTTTATTTTCTACTTTTACTGCAAGTTAAAAAAGCATTCCAGATTAAAATGTGTAAGTGAAAATAGTGGAACATGTTTACCATGAGCTGGTTTTGAGTAAATCTGTAGCATTTTTGGTGTGATACAGACAGATGTTAACATTTGTGTTTTCCACAATAGGGAACAACTGGTCCAGTCCTGAAATGCTTAAATCATACTCTGCTTACTTAGAGCAAACTTTTAGTCGCACATTTAAACTGTGCTTTCAATAAGTATCTAGAAAGAATAGTGAAAAGGGACCTATTATGCAAAATTCCCATTTTCAGTCTCAACTGCTTCTAAAAACAGCTCAAACACTAATCCAGCTGGTTTTTGGCAACATTTTATGTTTTTTGGGGACTTGAAAACAAACCGTTTCAAAAGACTGCTAATTATTGGGTCACACTGCATCGTTACCTAGCAACCACAGCCTAGTCCAGATCATCATCAAAAAAACAAAGCGAAGCTCCAGCATATTTTGTCAGCTGGTTTGGGTACTGGAAAAGAGAAACATTTTGTTGTTGACTGAAACCACTGCTGCATTCTCATTAGTTGTGCAGGAGATGCTACTTCTGCTTTTCAAAGATGTATGGCTGTATTAGTGCATCTCTTTGCTGCCATTTTCACATGCAAGTTCAACATTAAGGGGCGTGGCCAACAGCCTGTGGCCAAAAGTGACAGCGGATCTGAAACGGATCGTTCTGAAAGGAGTTCAAAATAGACAGAAGTGAACAGACTGAAATCTCATTATCTAACAATCATTTTGTGCAAATAAGCAATGAACGTGTTTTGTATTCGCCATGGAGTTACTCTAACCTGACAGCAAGCAGCTCACCTGTAAATAACTGACTTCAGTTAACAAGTACAAAAAATATTAGAAATAATTAGTGAGGATGTAATGTCACTTTGCACTGCCTGTTAAAAGTTTTTGTGTCCCTCTATGAGAGCTGAGGCACATTTGTCACACACAGCCTTGAAGTTGTATGCACAATGAACTCCGCTGACATTTTCATCCACACCGGACGGAGTAAAGGAAATTCTTTTTTTCTGTTTCGTTCGTAAAAGCACACTAGAGCTTTGCAAACATCAGAAACAGCGCAGCTTGCACCGCCTCTTCCATCTCTGAACGAATAAAAAGCAGTCACTATGCAGCAGTTCAGGAGAAATCACATGAAAGAAAGGCTGTTGCAATGCATGCATTGCACCAGGCAATTTAAATATGCCCACTGGTGCCCTGAAAAACAATGAAAACCTGGACATTTTCATCAACCACAGGTGAACAGAATGTACAAAGTGGACGTTTTGTCACCCAAGTTCACACGTCTCCTTTTTTGTGGTTGTACTGTTTTACTGTATTGTTTTGGTGAATGTTTTTTTTTTTTTATCTTAAATTAAGAATATTTGGGAAAACAGGTTGAATGTTTTGTCTTCTCTTGAATGCTATGAAAAATTATAAAACCATATTAGTATATGGAACTTTCTTGTTTGTTGCAGGTCAACTTTATTATCATTATTACCGCACTTTATGGTATTGCAGCTGTAATATCTGCACTTATAGCTGCGTGTCTATGTGAGTGGATGCCAAAATGTTGTTATTATAATAATGCCATGAAATATTGAATATTGGATCACTAAACCTTTAAAATTTAAATAAATAGTAAAAAAATATTTTTAAAGCATTTGACAGTGGTTTATAGGCATTAGATGTAGAGTTTAATAATGTCTTCTTAGGATAAAATGTAGAACACATAGATTTACTTTAACTTGGTGCTTGTGCTGTTACGTTTTGAAAAAATGTGACTTTTTTTATGGACTGCACAGTGGCACTGTTAGTAGAGCTGTTGCCTTGCAGTAAAGATGCTCTGGGTTTGGATCCCAGGACATGTAAATTGGTGCTACACAAAAAAATTAATTAAATGTAATTAATTTTTTTCAGTGTGTTATGGTCTGTGCTACATTAAGATTAAAGCCCAGATTGTGACTGAATTATAGGAATTTCTTGGACAGAGCCTCAATTCAACATTGTTAAGTGGTGCTATGAAAATAAACTGAATTAAATATAATTAAATCATCAGACTGAGGTATGATAAATGATTATTTGCAAATACTTATTTTTGCAGACCATATTATTAATTAAACATTTAGAAATAACTAAAGTCAAATTGATGTTGATTAATTTACCTTATCCAGAAAAAATTTTACAAATTCTTTGTATTCATTTGATGATGAGTCGTCAAACGCTTCAAGGTACTCTTTCCGGAAGACCACGTTAATGTTCACTGTCCGATTAAATGCATCTAGAAAGACAAAATAATAAATAAATTCATTCATTCATACAAAGTTACAGGGTTCTCGCATAACAGTGAAATCTATGGTTCAGAGGAATAAAACTTAACAATAGTAAATTCACAATACCTGGAATAACTGGAACAGCCGTTTCACATGCATCACCAGAAAACCCAAGGGGACATATGCAGATTGTTCCATCAAAAGTACCACCATTGTGACATGTCCTAGGTGGTATAGAAGGTGTTGTTACTGAAACAGATGGCGAGGTCGGTTTAACAGGGCCAGATGTCACTGAACCAGGTAGAGAGGTTTGTTCAACAGGTGGAGAGGTTGGATTAACAGGGCCAGAAGTTACTGAACCAGGTGGAGAAGTTGCTTCAACAGGTAGAGATGTTGGATTAACAGGGCCAGAAGTTACTGAACCAGGTGGAGAAGTTGCTTCAACAGGTGGAGAGGATGGATTAATAGGTGGAGAGGTTGCTTCAACAGGTGGAGAGGTTGCGTCAACAGGTGGGGAGGTTGCTTCAACAGGTGGGGAGGTTGCTTCAACAGGTGGAGAAGTTGGTTCAACTGGGGGAGAGGTTGCTTCAACAGGTGGAGAGGTTGGATCAACAGGTGGAGAAGTTGCGTCAACAGGTGGGGAGGTTGCGTCAACAGGTGGGGAGGTTGCGTCAACAGGTGGGGAGGTTGCATCAACAGGTGGGGAGGTTGCTTCAACAGGTGGGGAGGTTGTGTCAACAGGTGGGGAGGTTGCTTCAACAGGTGGGGAGGTTGCTTCAACAGTTGGAGAGGTTGCGTCAACAGGTGGGGAGGTTGCTTCAACAGGTGGGGAGGTTGCTTCAACAGGTGGAGAGGTTGGTTCAACAGGTGGGGAGGTTGCTTCAACAGGTGGAGACGTTGGTTCAACAGGGGGAGAAGTTGGTTCAACAGGGGGAGAAGTTGCGTCAACAGGTGGGGAGGTTGCTTCAACAGGTGGGGAGGTTGCTTCAACAGGTGGAGAGGTTGCGTCAACAGGTGGGGAGGTTGCTTCAACAGGTGGAGAAGTTGCTTCAACAGGTGGAGAAGTTGCTTCAACAGGTGGAGAAGTTGGTTCAACAGGTGGAGAGGTTGCTTCAACAGGTGGAGAAGTTGGTTCAACAGGTGGAGAAGTTGGTTCAACAGGTGGAGAGGTTGCTTCAACAGGTGGAGAGGTTGAATCAACAGGTGGAGAGGTTGGTTCAACAGGTGGAGAGGTTGCTTCAACAGGTGGAGAGGTTGCTTCAACAGGTGGAGAGGTTGGTTCAACAGGTGTAGGAGTTGGTTCAACAGGTGGAGAGGTTGGTTCAACAGGTGGAGAAGTTGCTTCAACAGGTGGAGAGGTGGGTTCAACAGGTGGAGAGGTTGCTTCAACAGGTGGAGAGGTGGGTTCAACAGGTGGAGAAGTTGCTTCAACAGGTGGAGAGGTTGGTTCAACAGGTGGAGAGGTGGGTTCAACAGGTGGAGAGGTTGCTTCAACAGGTGGAGAAGTTGGTTCAACAGGTGGAGAGGTTGGTTCAACAGGTGGAGAGGTTGCTTCAACAGGTGGAGAGGTGGGTTCAACAGGTGGAGAAGTTGGTTCAACAGGTGGAGAGGTTGGTTCAACAGGTGGAGAGGTTGCTTCAACAGGTGGAGAAGTTGGTTCAACAGGTGGAGAGGTTGGTTCAACAGGTGGAGAGGTTGCTTCAACAGGTGGAGAGGTTGGTTCAACAGGTGGAGAGGTTGCTTCAACAGGTGGAGAGGTTGAATCAACAGGTGGAGAGGTTGCTTCAACAGGTGGAGAGGTGGGTTCAACAGGTGGAGAAGTTTCTTCAACAGGTGGAGAGGTTGGTTCAACAGGTGGAGAGGTTGCTTCAACAGGTGGAGAAGTTGGTTCAACAGGTGGAGAAGTTGGTTCAACAGGTGGAGAGGTTGAATCAACAGGTGGAGAGGTTGCTTCAACAGGTGGAGAGGTGGGTTCAACAGGTGGAGAAGTTTCTTCAACAGGTGGAGAGGTTGGTTCAACAGGTGGAGAGGTTGGTTCAACAGGTGGAGAGGTTGCTTCAACAGGTGGAGACGTTGAATCAACAGGTGGAGAGGTTGGTTCAACAGGTGGAGAGGTGGGTTCAACAGGTGGAGAAGTTGCTTCAACAGGTGGAGAGGTTGGTTCAACAGAGATTGATTCAACATTCTGAGATTCTGCAGATTGTTGAACGACACCAGTCTTCTCAGGTACTATATCTGTGAAATAAAATGATAGGGATATCAATATTTTTGAATATTGCCTCAGTTATTCAGGATCACATTTATCATACCATAATATTCAAATGAAAGAAAATGAAAACAATGTATAATTTTAAAGATTCTATAAAACATGCTGTACTGTGTGCCATAAGCTCATTTGTCACAACCCACCACTGCCCCCTGTATCCAAAAAATAATAATACTAATAATACTATTACTAATAATAATAACAGAGCTACACCTGGTCTGGCATACTGTTTAGTTGTGATGCCTTCTTAAAGGGAAGTGTTGGCTGAGATAATGCAAAACATGAAGCAATACAATGTGTTGCTTTATGAACATTGATAATAATCCCACATTAGTTCGTCTGTTTCTTTGTGTGCTTTCTGCTCTGTCGTCTCAAATCTCCAGTCAGCGATTTCAGTTGTTTCCTTCTTGTGCTGCAGTTTGTTCTACATTAACATTAAAATCTAGATTATTAACAAATAGCTTTGGAGTTGTATTTCAAACAGAAAGAAAATTTGACAAAGCTAGATTTTGTTTAATCAGCTAATGATAATCTGAGCAATAATTTGCTTTTCCCCTCATGTTTCCCTTTAAGCAGTTGGATTTTTGTAATTGCTTATGTCTTTTTTCAATAATCAGACAAATACATTAGTGATTACGAGTAGGTTAATTCTTTCTTTTGTAAGTGATTAGATCCAGCACACTTGCTTAGTTTTCAACTGAATCGCTTATGTTGTCATAATGGAAATAAATAATTCTGGAATATAGTCTCATTCTAATTTTTTTGTATAATGTCACAATTTAGGAGCCTTGAAAAAGACACTTTACCTTTCAAACACTAACATTTTTTGAATGTTTTAAAATTTAGACAAATATCAAATATCATGAGGAAAATGTTGAAACGTAATAAGACATCAGCAAAGTATTCGAAGCTTTGTCTGAAATTAGTTTTCCAGATTGGCTCATCAGACCAGAGAATTAAGCCACAAGACAGCACAGCCGCTGTTTTGAACAGGCAATCACAAAACAACAATCTAAACCTTACGGACAAATTGTCAGCATATTTGAACATTTCTGTTGAATCAAGGGAGGCTGCAGAGTTAGGACAGTTCTGAGCAAGAGAGCCTTTAAACTTGCTGCCCCCTCAGCTACGAATGACCTACAATCACAGTCTAAATTGACAGGGAAAGTGGCTCTCTGAACTAAAACTAAAGACCATGAAGAAGACAGTTTAACTGGCATGCTATGTTTTTCATTAGCTGTTTAATTATTTTATGCTTTGATTCTTTTAAAACTAAACAAATCTATCTATCTATCTATCTATCTATCTATCTATCTATCTATCTATCTATCTATCTATCTATCTATCTATCTATCTATCTATCTATCTATCTATCTATCTATCTATCTATCTATCTATCTATCTATCTATCTATCTATATCTATCTATCTATCTATCTATCTATCTATCTATCTATCTATCTATCTATCTATCTATCTATCTATCTATCTATCTATCTATCTATCTATCTATCTATTGTCATGGGATAAGTCATTTTCTGGTTATACTCCACCTTACAGCCATTTATTGGTGATTTAGTTTGATTTTTTCTATGGTTAACAGTCTAAAAACTTTATTTTTCACCATATTCTGGAAATAAACATATTGATAACAGAATGGCTATCAGAAAGCTGTTCTAAAAACACCTTGTTCTAAAATGACTATTTTCCAACATAGTTTTTTTTTCACTAAATTTGCTCTGAATGTTTTCCAGCGCTACCCAACTCCCATGGAGCTGGGAGTTCAAAGTCTCCCCAACCCCATGACCCTGCAACGACAAGCAGGTGCAGCCCCTAGATAGAAAATAAAAATAAAATAAAACTTTTCTCCACTTGATATGTTTGACAAATATAACTCTGTCAAACAGTTATATTGATTAAATGATTAATCTTTTGGTGTAACTTGTCTAGCTAAAGGTTTCAGAGGAGAATACTTTTTCCATATTCATTATATTGTATGAATGATGTTCTTTCTTAAAATCCTGATCAAACATAAATTAAGGATTTATATAAAATGTGAAAGTGAAGTAGTTTTCAGTCTTACCATCAGATGAACATAAGCCAATTATTAAAGCCGAAATCATCAACACACGAAAAGAAAATGCCATCGTCCAAATATATTCCTAGAAGTATCAAAGACGAATGTTGAATATCTTGAATCTTAAATCCTGGTGCTTCCAACATAAAGTGTCCGCATATCACAGGACACTTCGCTCTATAAAGTGACTGTCATTACAAGTTAGTTAGAAGACTAACTTGTAATGTCAGTGATCCCACCCATAGTCCAATGTCCAAGATTTTAATGCGGAAAGAGCAATGAACGTGTTATAAAAACGCTGAGTATGTCACACGTTTATTGCATTCATTTTCCCATAATTCTCACCCATCCAGGGCTGGACTGGGATGAAAAAATGGCTTTAGCATTTTTGACTGTGGTGGCCAACTGTGATTATTACCACGACATGAGAAAGTACACGACTTGCCAGATATTTAGAATAGTATAGAATAGAATTCAACTTTATTGTCATTGCACTGTCACATGTACAAAGCAATGAAATGTTGCATTGTGTTGTTTCAAAAGTAAAAATGAAGAGCCTCAACCTGCAAGGAAGAGAGAAAACATGTTTTAAAAAAAATGAACCTTTCATTACTCAGAAAGACTCTCATCTTGGGAGAGATGGTCACTGTCTCACAATACTCATCTTAAAGAAAATCTGCTAGAGGTGTATTTTCAGTTTATTCAAGTACATAACTGTGTCCACAGTAGGGCCAAATGCATATAGATGAATGTGCCACTCATCAAAGAGAAAATTGCACTAATGTTACACCTCTGGCTTCCTACCAGAGTTGGTCACAAAGTCCAATAGTGTTGAATCCTCATAGGATTATTTGAAAACAAAAACTATAAAAAGAATTCACACAAACGCAGTTTGTGAGCTAAACTGCAGTTTTGTACACAAATCACACAGAACTCTGTAGGTTAATATAACCATGCATGTTTTACGTCAGACTGAATAACATATGTCTTGTAACAATTGTAATGTTGAGAATTTTCACACTTTTATGATGAGACATTAATTAGTGAAGATGAATCTCAAATCATATATTTAAATAACTCTTTGCATTTTTCTGCTTTCTAACTGCTCTGTTTATATTTTCTGTTTTATTCTACCAGTATTTATTATTATTATTGATTTTATTATTATTTATTTGTATGAAAAAATGTTCTTTTACAGGCCATCATTATTTTGGTGTAATTCTAGTCTTTTTTTCTGCATTTTACTCCTCCATAAAGTCTCAAGTTTTAGTGCTGAGAAAAGAGCAATAAACTCTGAACATGCTGCAAGTTTATTGCATTCATTTTACAGTGATTCCCACTCATCATAACACTTTGCAGATTAATTCATTCCCTTTAGTGACGGCTCACAAAGCCTCCAGCAGAAGACGAAACATTTCTGTCGGCTCTTACGGCCTTTGTCCTGAAGAAACGATTCTAAATTCATTATTTAGGATTAAATCATCCTAAATAAGCTGTAACTGATTGGTCCTGATAACCCCCAGAATATCACTGTCAAAGAGAGCAGTAACATTATTTATTTATTTTGGCTCCTTATGACAAGCATTTCTATCAGCTTTTTCCTCATCTTACTTTACCATTGTTAAAAAAATGTGTAGACAAACCACAGGAATAAGGTAAACCTTGTTTTGTTTGAGCCATTTTGGTGTTTGGTTTCACAGCTACTGAACTCTGCAAAATATATTTTACAAATTTCCATTTATAAGTTACAGTTCAGGCTGAAGTTGGTTTATTTTGAATGATGGATAAGAGAAAAAAAAAGCGCCTACTTGCTTATCCTGGCATCTTAAATGTGACATTGAACATTGATGGTGTGCGACATCAGGCCAAGGATCGGCAGCAAACAACCTTATGAAAACATTTCTTCTCAGATTATAAATCCTTATCAACCAGTATATCCTGTCAACACCTCCCTCTGGGTTGGTTCCAATTTTCCACTCATTTCCAATGTTCCGGTAATTACCAGCGCCCTTGTGCTATCTATTGCTATGTGAAAATGGTAAGTTGTATTAACATGCAACACAATTAAAGTGATTGCACTGTGGAATGGAAAACATATTTGAAATCAATGGTATTTTAGATAGGAAAGCAAAGCGAAGTGAGAGAGAGCCTCACTTTTTTTTTCTGGTTTAACCCTCTCCAGGCAGATGTTGCAGATTTGCAACAGCTAAATGCTACTTAGCTAGTCTTTGCAAGTAATTTGAGCCTGAGAGGGTTAAGAGAGAAATGTTCATGTCATCTGAAAATAGTGTTGGGTTGAACATTAACTCTAATTCATTGCTTGGGTGACTGGAGATAAAACAAGATTTAACATCCAGTCTTTGTTGTTCATGTCCGTTAGCAGTTTGTTGGTCTTGCAAATGGTGGATTAGAGACTGGATGGAACAGGAGAAATATTCTGTGGAAATGTGTGCTTTACACACATATCTTTTGAAATCTGGAGAATATGAACTAAATTTATATCACGATAAACATTTCACATTGGTTAATATCAATAATTATTTATTAGATTTTTGTTTTGGATATCTGAAGTACTGGCAAACTCTTTCATCCAGTTTTCACTCCATGCCATTTTTATTATTATTATTTTATTTTTTACTTTTAAGCAGCTATGAGGCACGGTGGCGAAACCTGAAACTGCTGCTGTGCAAGTTACTGAACAAGTTGTTGCGGTAACTGAAGAGCGGGTGAGTTCGTTGATGCTGGAGGTTGAGTGGCTGAAGCCTTTCCTCTGTCTGCAGCCCCCAGAATGTTGTGTGGTTCTGGTTCAGAGTTCAGTTAATATTATTCACTGAATATTGTGTCACACATATTATCTAACATATTAGGTTACAGACTTCTGTTTTAGGACTGCAGTAGTTTTAAAGAAGCTCATTGGTTGTTTTGACGTCTGTCATGACGGAGTGGGCGGAGCTCTGGAGAGAGCGACATCAAGTGCAAAGGATCAGTACATCATTACAATACATTATTAACTTATTATCCAGTTAAACACTATTAAGCTCTCTTTACCCTGTGGTTCCTCCTGTAACAGAGAAATTAGCTAAACCCTTGAATCGAAAATTATGATGTGTGACTTTTGCCTTAAGGGAGGTGGAGTGTGTTTATGAATATAATTTCTCTTGTTACCCTGGTTGACCTGCGGTTCTTGCTGGTCAGTCTGTGATTCCTTCTTGGAGGTCAGCCTCCCATCAACTAATCGTTCTCCCTCTCCTGATATTAAACCATTTACTTTCATGAACATCAGAAGTAGTCCTCCCATCAGCTCATTTGTTTCTTCTAGTGCATTCTGCTGTTTTCTCAACCTTCCAGTCGGCCATGGCTGATTGTACCGAGCCAGGTTCTGATTCTGCTGGAGGTTTCTTCCTGTGAAAGGGAAGTTTTTCCTCTCCACTGTCACTACGTGCATGTTCAGTATGTGGGATTTGCTGTAAAGTCAACAACTCAACACAAGTAATTGTCTCCATGTTTTCATAACTTAACTATAACTAACTATAACTATCACTAACAAGTCCATAACTTGATTCAATCTGCTCGGTTTATTTAGATAGAAACTTTTTAATCTACTTTGTATTAATTGAGCTTACTGTAATGTTTCAGCTTTAACTGCAAGTTACCTATGAACACTCATACAATTAACTGATTGAATATTTTATTATTGACAACCCTACATTGGATGGAATCAAACCTAGAAATTTGAAAAAAGTAAAAACTTATTATTCTGACGTTCCGCAAACGCTCCTATGTTTGATCATTCTAACTTCCCCGAAAGAGGAAAAGTTTCGACTGTAACCATTTTATTTTGGCTTCCACTGTGCAGCGTTAGGAGTTTGGATTTAATTCGAGACGAGCAGAACTCTGAACATTGATCCGTAGAGCAACAAATCCACACGAATCAGTAGGAACAAGTTGCATAATGCAGTCATTCCACTGCAATTAAAAAAGATGAGACTGACTGATTAGTCTTTTATTGTGGTCGTCGACGCAGCTTGTCACAAAAATTGTGACAATGTTCTGTGACGTTTAAGGACGTCAAATGTTGTTAAAGTTTTGATATCACGCCTTCATCATGAACAGGAAGAGCAAGTTGGTCAAATCAGCGTAAACTAGAAAACATTTCAGCGAAAACATTTCACAAAACTCAGTCCACTGCTGACCAGTTTGTTTAGGAATAGTAACAGAAAAAGTCAGACTCAAAGCCACCATCTGGGTTTTCTTAAAAGGACTTGATTTTGAATATAATCCTGTCTGAATTAAATTAACATACTTCTGTAAATAGTTTGGATATGAACAACCTGGATACAATTAAAATTTATTCAAAATTTGTGTGAAATACAATATCGGAGCGATACTGTGACAATGCAGTATCACTCATGGTCATAACTGAGCTGCTGTGGCAACAATTAAAAAAGAAATACAATAAATAACCAGTTTGAAAAAGATTTCTTCAAACCAACAACAGTAAACACATAAAAAGCCAACCTTCTCATTGTATCGGTATTTAATGCGACATTAAATAAAAATCACAGCCTTAATTTTCCTACACCCACTTAAACTTTGAGAAAGGATAGAACGGTTCACAGTGTTTTATTCAGAACTCTGTTTTCGCATCAACAAGCTCAGTGGAACCAGGAAAGGATTAAGAGGTGGGAGGAAGTCTGCCATGTCTGCATCCTCGGACTGGCCTGAAGAGGTGGCTCCTCTGTCGGCAGGGCCAGCAGCTTCTGCCTCCTGGCTGCATCTCTGGCTGGGATCTGCAGCTGCAGCTGCAGCTGGCCCCCTCTCAACACGCCGCGCATTCTTCAGCTTCGACATCAGCTGCTTTGCAGGCATGGAGCAGGCAGGAGCAGAGAGACACTGATGCATCTGAAACCAGGTCAGGAGGGAGAAGGCTTCAGGTTAACGGAAACCAAGAAAAATTTTCACATGGACAAAAATGTCAGTGGAATGACCAAAAAGCCCAGAATAAGTCCCTAAAGTAAGTCGAAACAGTTAAAAGTAATAATTAAAATGTGGTGAAAGTTAACCAATGAAAATCAGACATTCCTTCTGAACTGTGTTTCAACGGAATCATTAAATTTTTTTTTTTTAAAAAGCATGGACCAAATTCCTCTATAGCAGTGTTTCTGTGTCCTGGTCCTCACACTGTCCTCACACCGTCCTCACACTGTCCTGCATGTTTTAGGCGTTTCTTTTTTGCACACACCTAACTTGAATAAGTAGCTGATTAACAAGCTTTGGCAGCACTTGGCGACATGCAGCCATTTGAATGAAGTGTTCCGGAAAATAACACCAAAAGAACACCGTACATACAGTGAAGCATGGTGGTGGCAGCATCATGCTTTGGGGCTGTTTTTCTTCAGGAGGAACTGGGGCCTCAGTCAGGGTGAAGGGAATTATGAACAGTTCTAAATATCAGTCAGTGTTGGCACAAAATGGTCGGTCTTTCGTTAGAAAGCTGAAGATGAAGAGGAACTTCATCTTTTAGCACGGCAGCGACACAAAGCACAGATCTAAATCAATAAAAGAACGGCTTCACTGGAATAAGAGTGAGGCTTTGGAATGGCCCAGCCAGAGTCCAGAACTGAATCTCAGGAGGGCTGTGCAAAGCCGATTCCTGTCAGATTTGGAGTGCTGTAATAAAAGCCAAAGGCGCTGCAACAAAGTACTGGTTTAAGGGTGCACATATTTATGCAACCAGATTATTTTATGTATTTTTCCCCTTTAACGTTTTCAGACTGAATTGCGAATTGTATGATTATTTACCTTGCTACCATTTCATTTTACATCATGAAAACCTGGCATCTGAGCAGGTGTGTGTAGACTTTTCATATCCACTGTGTTCTTCTGTCTGCCAGTGGAATCCCACACAGCAATGTGTCCAAAAGCAAAGGCTTAATGTTGAATAGCTTTCCTGAAAACAGCAGGATCTACCTGGACCAGATGTTTCTGCAGGTTGTTGCAGTCCAGATGATGAAGCTCTTCTGGGAGAGACATCAGCAGGTCCAAGACTATCGCACTTTCTGGAAGGCAGAAGACAAAAAGAAGAAAAGACTGATTTCATTACTGTGGCTATAAGATTACGGCACTGCATCATAAAATGTTACAGTGCCGTATTTTCATGCCAACAAATGATTCCTGGGTTGTTTTTGATGTTTTAGCTACTGTGTGTGTGTGTGTGTGTGTGTGTGTGTGTGTGTGTGTGTGTGTGTGTGTGTGTGTGTGTGTGTGTGTGTGTGTGTGTGTGTGTGTGTGTGTGTGTGTGTGTGTGTGTGTTTTGGGAGGGTAGAGGTAAAACGGCGGTGATGTCGTGTGCTATCCCATCTGCCTGCTCTTCAAATAATCAAACGTTAAATACATTTAACTGGGGGGAATTAATAACAAATTTTTGATTTGAACTTCCAAAACATTTGCCTAAAGATTTCATTACACATGAATGTCAAAGGTAAGAATGTATACATGTAGAGCTTGTTCCTTGTATGACGTTATAGTAACTGCATTACTAAATATAAAACCGTACATTGCTTAATACGCAACAGAGTCATAATAAGAAACCATTATGAGGCCTGACTGGAAACAACATGTTGCCACAGTAATCCATGGATCAGTGACGCTGTGGCAGCTTTGGGAAGGTCTGAGAGATTCTGGGGCAGATAAGATAACAGATTTATGGAGACAGTATCACAATTCATTATCAAGTGTATAAAAAGTGACCCTTGTGAGGACGAGTCTGACCCGCTGATAAACCTCATGTATACTGACATGAGGCATATGGAGCGATTCACTGACTACCATATAATGAAGCCTGTGGTTTAGATTGCATTCATGCAGAGCTAAAAACAAAGAAATAAATGCTACTTTAAACCCGATTACTCTTCTTAGTGCTTTGTTTTACAATTCATAATCTTCTCCATCCAATGTTTTTATTTTGCTTATCCTGGTCGCTAAGAATACTGGAGAAAAAAATTGCAGCCCGGATAACTGTAAGCTGATTGCACTCGCCTTTATCTTATCGTAGTTTATAGAGTACATATATCTCTTCCCTAAATAATCTGTTTTGCTTTAAACCAAGGCAAGGCACGGACTGCTTCCCTGTTTATATGTTAAACAGGAAAGCAGTATCTGTGAATCAGCCTTTGGTTCAATCATCAGTTTATGTATCTAATGAGCCAATAAACACTGCATGAAACGCTAAAAATCTAACGTATGCAGATGATCTCCAGCCCAGGAGGTGCTGATCTACTGCTGCTCCTTTAAAATATGTACCAAACATGGTGTGCAGCATGATATCGGGCTCATTATTATTATTATTATATGCGGTATTTTGAGGCAAAATTTTCCCTGATAAACTATATAACAATTTTCTTGAGTTTTATAAAAAAGGACAAATATTTAGATACTTCTATTACTGAACAAACAAACAAATGAATGATGACATATAGACGATGTGACACATAAGTTGAGCTTTTGCTCAGTCCCAGTATTAGCTCTCATTCAGTCAGAAAAAAATAAATAACTAAAAACATTGGCTGAGGTTTTTTTTGTTAATGTAAAATGTTTTTTTTTATACTTCAACTTATTTTATACTTTTAATTATGGGTTTTATAATTTGTGTTATTTTTAATAATAGTAGTAATAGACCCAAGTTTGTTAATAAAGTTTGAAGACGGTAAATTTAAGTAAATGTTAAATAATTAAATACAGTTATCAAAAGAAAAACAAACAACTACTCAGACCAATCTGGCCTTATTTAAAAAAGGAGCTGCTCCCAAACTGCCATCTGTGGTTTTAACACACAGATGGCAGTTTGTCACTGGCCTTTGACTATGCCATTCCAAAAGCATCACTTTTTAGCCAGGAAAACATGCGGTATAGTATTTGATGATGTCAGTAGATGAGGCAGTCCTGACAGGAATCTTGCCATCAGATCACATTTAGTGAATAATTACTTGTGATATATATCACTGATCTGCTGATTCATGTTCTGGCCAATACTGATTGTTTTTAAATAACCAAACCAAACTACCTCAAACAACCTGAGGTAGTGTTCTGAAAAATAAATATTTTTGAAGTTTTTTTTAACCGATGCACTTCTTGGGTTTCCATAGCTCAGAGTAGTTTCAGCACATCAAGGGTCTACCAACTCATTGTCTGAGCAAGTTTTGCAGCTATGGGGTGTGAATTCAAGTCAATTCTCAGAAGAGATGACTGAAATAGAACATATTTTCAAAGACATTTTTGTCATTTAGAATTTCTTTGCAAGAAAAAAAAGAAAAGAGATTTTAGTTTAAACGCATATGGAGCAGGACTACCTGTCAGAAAATCTTGTGAAATAAATAAAAGCTGTGTTTCTGCCTTAGGTTCAAAGCAAACCTAGACTATCCAGTTATGAAAAAACATTTTCAGCATTTTATTTCAACATGGCATTATTAGAAATGTTGCTCCTGGTTTTTGGGGGTGGGGGGAAGCCACTTGATTCTTTGTTTCATTAAACAACAAATGGCACCAAATAAGCTTAGAAGGGAGAATGGATGGCACTGAAATAATTCACCAACACTAACTGCTGCCTATGCAGTTCTGGGCCATGTGCATAATGTACAAATTGGCACTGAGTTAATACATTACACATATGACATTGTTCAACCTCATTTTACAGACAGACATTTGCTTCTCATATATATTGGAATCTGTGGATTCAAATATAAAGCCATGTTTGCAGGCTAGTTTTAAATTTACTGATCTTAGAACACTTAAGGGATAAAAAAAAGCTGGAACAGAAAATGTGTCAAGGGGTAAATCCCTTTTCACACTGTTTGACCTAAAAATGGAACAACCTCTAGTGTTTAAGATTTCTCATGCTTCAGAAATCTTCCTGCATTAATCTCATTAATGTGTTCTGCATACACAGGTACGTTTAATTAAATCGTTTTTTCATTTCATCCCCACTGGAGGTTTGATACCACATCAATATTAAATGATTAATGATCCAGTTACATCGAGCCAAAGTAAAAATGTTGATTCACAGTCATCTTTAATACGATGCAGTATGACTGAACTGCATCTGCACTTTCCAGAACAGGGGAAGTGGTGTCTTTGATGAAGTTCTTTGACCGTTTTGCTTAAAAAAAAAAAAAAAGGATGAAAGTTTAAATTCTGCCTCAAATATAGAAATATGGAATTAAATTGAACTTTTTATGTGAATGCATTAAAGCTCAGTGTCTATTCTGTTTGTTTCTTTATGACTGAAAGGTTCTCCAGGGAACGTTAATTTAACTGACTTAAAAAGTACAAAACATGAGACTGGGTTAACCAGTGACCAATTTATTTTTTTGTGCAAAAATGCTTTTTTTTTAATGTTAATGCCTGAGGTCTTGTAATAACCTACAAATAAAATGGTCAAGTCATATTTGGGTTGTTTTTGTAAGTTGATATATTCAGAAATGACTGTGTTAGATGGACATATATCACATTGTATTGACTGCAGACTTGTGAATTAAAATCCTACCAAGAAACCGTGTTGTTTACCAAACAAATCCGTAAAATAAACTGTGATAAAGCAGCTGATTAATATCGTTGATCGGCACAACCATTTTAGAATTTGAGTAAAGTTTGTTGATTTTTGTTAGCTTAAAATGTCAAGGAAACGTGTAAGTCACCACTGTTTTGAACCCTTAAAAAAACAAACAAAAAAACAAAACAAATGAATATTAAACAGAACTCTTCATTTTCTTACATGAATATTTCAAAAGCAAACTAAATGTGAGAGTTGGTACAAAATAATTAAACCTAAAAGTTTGTCAGAGTTTTGCAATAATAACGTCACGGATGTTTTCAGAGCAACTCAAAGTTTCCCTTTAGTCATCAGATGGTGTAAGGAGGACCGTAGCATATGCTAAAAGGCGCATCACTGACTCACCCATGGGCGTTAGATTATAATCCTCACTGGGGTTTTGGACAACACTCAGGTACTTGTAGATCTTTTCAAAGTTCACAGTAAATTTAACTCCATCTGTCTTTGGGCCGTTTACCGCAGTACGTTTACTTGATTGCCCAAATGTAGCAGGCAGCTCGGCGGCTGCACTGGAGAGTGGGACTGTGGAGTGGGGAGAGGAAAAACTGGACACCGGCAAACACATCGCAACAGGAGATTGAGCTGCTGAGATTGAGACAGGGGAGAGGCCAGAGGCAGACGGAGCGAGAGGCTTTAGAGAACCAGAAGATACGAACGCGGGAAGCGTTTCTGAGGGCAGCGGGGCGACCGGATCTGGACATCCAGTTCGCGAGGTGGAGGTGGAGGCAGCAGCAGCGGAAGGAACAGCTGGCTGTATCTGACGTGGAAGGATCTTCCTGGTTCGACCTCTAACAGATGGTGCTGGGAGTCTACTGCTCACTGACCTGGCTGGAGCCGGAGTGATGAGCAGGAAGGTAGCAGGACGCTCACCTGGACCGAGCAGAGAGAGACTTCTTATTCAAAGCCAAAACTGTTTTTTAAAACTGCAAAAAGTACAAATTTCAAACTTTATTTAGGATGAACAAGCCTCTGAACAAACTCATCACAGACAGTGAAGGCAGAAAACATTAACAGCTCTTGACTTTTTCGCACACAGGCTCATTCCAAATTGTATTGAAGGGATTTCTTGTCTCAAAATTCCACACACAAAAAGCTCATGAAAATGTGGGATTTTTTTAGTGCGTTGTACATTTATTTAAAAAATAGTCAGTTGGTTTTGTTACATGTATTCATCTGGTGAAGGTGTGATGGCACACTCTGGATTCTCTGGTCAGCTTGTTCAGTTAAACTGAATAATAATAATAATAATAATAATAATAATAATAATAATAATAAATGCAAAAACAAAATCTTACCAAGTGTTTTTGGTCTAGTTTCTAGTGCAAATATCTTAGTACTCTTTAAATAAGACAAAACTAACTTAAAAGTAATGTTTTTAGCAAGATACAGGAGCTTGTTTTAAGTGCATGATTCCTTAATATTGATGAAAAAGTTATTGCTCCATTGGAGGATTATTTAACCAATAATACATTTCCCTATGTTGTAAGTTAATTTATCTGCCAATAGAACTAGAACTTTTTCATCAATATTAAGGAATTATTTACTTAAAACGACTCCTATATCTTGTTGAAACATCACTTTTAAGTTGGTTTGTCTCATTTCCAGTGTGATAAGATATTTGCACTAGAAACTAGACCAAAGATACTTGGTAAGCTTGTTTTCTTGCAGTGAATGCAATTGAGTATTTTGTTATCAAAAGTCTTAGACTTTATTGTTCATAATGTTTACAGCCATCATGCTCAGGTCCAGAGCTTCAACATTAAAACAATAAAATGAAGACGTTTATAGGGTTCATGACATCAGAGCACAATCAAAAGGTTTTTTACATCAAGAGCACATTTTTTATTGCTTTGTGATCTTGGTGGCTGATAAAAATGCAAGATACATTTTTTTTTTAACTCTTCACATCTTTTTTTATGATGAAACTTTACTGGAGTTTCTCATTCATGATTGATTCAGCAGTGAAGTAAAAAATGAATAAAACATCCCATCAACTTTTTTGACAAGGTGAGATGACGCTGCAGAAGTTTTACAGGTCTGTTGTGCAGAGTGAACGCATGAATCCACATACCTTTCACTGGCATGCGAGGCACTGGTCTACAACCAACAGTGGGCCTGAGGTCCTGCCTGGGGTCAGAGTTCCTCAGAGTGCAGGGCTCTGTCGATGACACAACCAACATCTGAAGGAAAAGGAAAAGAAAGGATGGTGGGATATTTTCTGACTGATTTTAAGAAAACCTGTCACAAACCTAAGACAAGAATCAAAACAGTTTGGGGTTTTTTTGTTCCATACAACGGCACAGTAACGTGTGCGTTCTGAAAGGGCTTCTTGAAAGATGAAATATAACAGCATGAAAATTCACAGCTTGTTCATTTCAAGCATTTTTAATGTCCACTGAACATAGGGAGACCAACTTCCTCCAAGAAGTCGTTGTTCATTTTCCTATGGCAGCCAAACTATCCCACAGTGGACTTTATTCTTTTAGATGAGACAAAATAGCTCTGCAGGCCGGCGTTGCTGCCAAGCTGCAGAGCTGGCAGCGACGCCGGGGTGTTTAGGGAATCGAGTCCTGATACTGTAGCTGCATACAGCCGGACCCATTTACATTGACACGAAATAAAATGCTTTTGCTGAAAGAACAGTATGATGGGAAGTCACTCTTACTGACCGAAGTGCCGTGACTTTTTCAAATAGCAGTTTACCGGCTCATGCCTGTGTGGCCCGATATTTGAACCTCTGCGAAGGCAGCTGCAGCATCATGAGGCTGTGCACGCACATAAACCAAAAGACAGCATAATCTCCCAGTGTCTACCTGATCGTAGAAATATGTTGCTTCTGATAAAAATAACATACTGCGAACGGGACATGACTTTAACAACTTTGATTATATTTAAAGTCCTCTAAGCATTAGATCCATTTGAGTTAGGATCAAACCTCGGTGAGATCTGCCGCACACGTCTTGTGCATTTTTCAGGTGCATGCCGAGTCGTAAGCCATGCCCCTTTAGTTCTTTTGTTAGTCTATGATCTCAAGGGGCACAAGTCACTTATCTTTTGGTTGACTGATCACTTGATTGTTCTTGTTTGAGCATACCTGAGAGAAGGCAGCAGCTATGACTTTCTCAAGGCTTCCAGCAAGACTGGAGGCCATGTGTGTCCACTCTTCAATAGGCTTGCTGAATTGCTTCTCCTCCCAGTTCTTCAGACGCAGCTGGAAACGTGCAGATGATATGATCTTGTTTTTCAGAGAGTCCACCATAGCACTGATCTGCGACACAGGACAACAAACCTCACAGGATTAGTTTTTGTGCTGACATTTCACACTCATTTTATTTCGGCAGGGTAATCAGATGCCTAATAATGGTCTATGAAAGACACAGGACTGTAGGCTGACTGAGACCTCAGTCATTGATGCCACTGGACCACCGATATTTGATTCTCCCGCCCCATCAATTGGTAGAAATTTTGACATATGGACCCACAAACAAAAGCCCATTGGCTAGGCTCTGTTCAGACTGGTGTTAGCGCTGGGATATATGATGGACTGGGGAGTCAGGAGGCGTACTGGGGGCCACTCTTACGGACCAGGGTGCCGGGTTCTGGCGTGGGGTGAAAGGTGAAAGTCGTTTCAAACATCACTAATATGAAAATAAACATCCGAAATTCTTAACGTCAGTTTAACAAAAAATATATAGTCAACAGTAACCAAATCATATTCACTTATTGAATGTTCAGCTTCAAGTATTTTAAATAGCAGCTCTTTTTATTTTATAGGGGAGTGGAACAGAAACATAAACTGTACAAACTCAAAGAAAAACATATTCTAGTACCGCCACCTAGTGGTATGTTTGAAGAAATTTCTGGAGGTATGTTTCAATGGCTTCTGTTAGTCTGACATATCTGTGACCAAGAGGCAATCTAATATAAACTCTAGGTCAGGGACCACCTAAATTGCCCCACAATAACACAACATGTTAAAATACAATCTGAAATGAAAATATTAGGCTCTTAACTCACTTATTGTCATGAACAATTATCCTGAGAGCATTATGATTCATTTACATAATTCTGAAAGAGTGGATGATGTCAAACACATGGAAATATTATTAATGCACAAGTGTTGTGTGCATTTATACATTCAGGTCTTTTTGTAATTTAGAAGCACGACTGACTTGAATTGCTTTGGCAGAAACAAAAATCTTCTTCTGCACCATATGAAAAAAATAAATATACACAGTATTTTCCAGGTCATTATGAGGGTTTTGGGTTAATGTGAGACTGGATTTAATGTTTTTTTTGAGTCAGAAGCCTTAGTACTCTCCCATGGAGGCCCATTCTGCCCAGCCAGTCTTCTTTATAAGTCCTGGTCACTAAAAAAAACCTCAGATTTCAAAATGACTCTAGTTTAACCACAGTTAATACATGGGAGACCACCGGGTCAAAGAGGTTTGGGTAGCTTTTTTCCACCAATGAGTGAAATTATCACTTAAAAACCGTTTTCTGTATTTAGTCAGGTTATATTTATCCAACGTTAAATTTTAGGATCGTCTAAAACAGAAGAACTGCATTAGCCCCCGTCCCAGCTGATCACACACAACACAACACAACACAACAGTCAGAGTCCAAACCACCAAAAGCTCAAGGTTTTTGGAAGGGTTCTGTTGTCAGACTCGTCTCGGAGTTACCTCTGAAACGGACCGAGTAGGTATTTGTTCCTTCAGGACATCATAGTCAATCTCTTGCAGGCCTCTTGTGGTCTGGCCGAGAGCTTTCAGGGCTTTCAGAAGCTTATTCAGCTCAGAAGGTGCCCACATGCAGCGCGCTTTCCTGCGGGGCTCCGGCGTTTCTGCCCAAGAGCTCAAGTCTCGTTTGGTTCTGTTCCGAGGGGGCGGCTTCATCCTCACCGGTTCTTCTCACTGGAGCTAAAGACAAGAAAACGCAACAAAGTAGTCTGAGCAGGTTATGAGGGGCATAGTTGTCCCGTTTAAATTGAAGTTGAACTATTTTACCTTTATCCTTGTTGTTTCCAGTTAACTTCTTCTTCTTCTTCTGGTGTTGCGTCTTCGTCTTGTATTTATTGACGACTGAAAAGACAAGTAATGGCGCATTACCGCCACCAACTGGTGAGGAGTGTGACTCGGGATTCGAAAACAAATAATACAAATAAAAAGTTAATTAATTCATAAATTAAATCCTTCCAACTAACCCAGGGGATCAAAACAAAAACAACAACAACAACAAAAAAAACACAATATAAATGTATAGTATTCGCCCCCCAACTTTACTGATAATCTTATTTAAACGTTTTTCACGGTTTAGGATAAGAATAAACCTTTCAGTTTCACATGTCTGTAACAGTGATAAGGAACCATCTGGCATAACATGATAAATAGTCTCTTCCGCATCACAAAAGTCACAATTCCCTGTTATTTTCCCCCTATTTTAAAGAGTGCAGATCAGCTTGACTCCTGAGACAGAAGAGATTCCACTGGAAATAAGAAGAATAAAATTAGCTCTGACATATTGGATGAAAATAAGAAGTAGTAAGGATGGAAATGCAAATTCAACAATCTTAAAATATTGTTGGGAATACTCAAAGTTCCAGAGTAATGGATTTGGATGGATCATACACAAATGGATTAAAATGTGTGGATTAGAAGATAAAGAAATAGTTCAGTTTAATCCCATTAGAGTTAGTCCTCCATGGATTTTTCCAGAGGTTAATGTTGACATGAAACTTCTTAAAATGAAAAATCATTGGAATTTAAATGAATTAGGGGTAAAGACTGACGTATTTTTAAGAAACTCATATTATAATTATATTAAAATATATTCAGATGGTTCTAAGAATTTAAAAGGACGTGTGGGAATAGGAATATATATATATATATATATATATATATATATATATATATATATATATATAGTAAATTCCTTCTCACCCACCGCGGGTGGTTCTTATCCTCTGAGCTCGGTCCTCTACCAGAGGCCTGGGAGCTTGAGGGTTCTGCGCAGTATCTTGGCTGTGCCAAGGACTGCACATTTCTGGACTGAGATGTCTGATGTTGTTCCTGGGATCTGTTGTAGCCACTGCTCCAGTTTGGGGGTTACTGCCCCGAGGGCCCCGATGACCACAGGCACCACTGTGGTCTTCACCTTCCAGGCCCTCTCCAGTTCTTCCCTGAGGCCCTGGTATTTCTCCAGTTTCTCGTGCTCCTTTTTCCTGATGTTGCAATCACTTGGTATTGCTACATCTACCACAACGGCTTTCCTCTGATTTTTATCCACTACGACAATGTCTGGTTGGTTCGCCATTACCATTTTGTCTGTCTGGATCTGGAAGTCCCACAGGATCTTAGCTCTGGCATTCTCCACCACCTTTGGGGGTGTTTCCCACTTTGATCTTGGGGTTTCCAGTCCATATTCTGCACAGATGTTTCTGTACACTATGCCTGCCACTTGGTTATGTCGCTCCATGTACGCTTTCCCTGCCAGTATCTTGCACCCTGCTGTGATGTGCTGGACTGTCTCAGGGGCCTCCTTGCACAACCTACACCTTGGGTCTTGTCTGGTGTGGTAGATCTGGGCCTCTATTGCTCTGGTGTTTAGGGCCTGTTCCTGGGCGGCCAGGATGAGGGCCTCTGTGCTGTCCTTGAGTCCAGCTTTTTCCAGCCATTGGTAGGATTTACTGATATCAGCCACTTGGGTTATTTGCTGGTGGTACATCCCATGTAGGGGTTTGTCCTCCCATGATGGTATCTCTGGCACCTCAACCTCCGTTCCCTGTTGTCTGAGACATTCACTGAGCACATTGTCTATTGAGGCTTTGTCCCTGATGTATTTATGGATCTTAGTTGTTTCGTCCTGGACAGTGGTTCTCACACTCACTAGTCCTCTGCCTCCTTCCTTGCGGCTCGTGTACAGTCTCAGGGTGCTGGATTTGGGATGGAACCCTCCATGCATTGTTAGTAGCTTTCTAGTCTTAATCTGTGGCTTTTATCTCCTCCTTTGGCCAGCTAATTATTCCAGCAGGGTATCTGATTACTGGCAAGGCATAGCTGTTTATCGCACGGATTTTGTTCTTGCCATTGAGCTGGCTTCTCAGGACTTGCCTTATTCGTTGGAGGTATTTAGCTGTGGCTCCTTTCCTTGTGGCCTCATCGAGGTTGCCATTTGCTTGTGGTATACCTAGGTACTTGTAACTGTCCTCTATGTCTGCTATTGTTCCTTCTGGGAGTGAGACCCCTTCTGTGTGGATGACCTTCCCCCTCTTTGTGACCAGCCGACCACACTTCTCTAGTCCGAATGACATCCCAATGTCCGTGCTGTAGATCCTGGTGGTGTGGATCAGTGAGTCGATGTCTCGCTCACACTTGGCGTACAGCTTGATGTCATCCATGTAGAGTAGGTGACTGATATTGGCCCCATTTTTGAGTCTGTATCCGTAGCCAGTCTTGTTGATAACTTGGCTGAGGGGGTTCAGGCCTATGCAGAACAGTAGCGGGGACAGAGCATCTCCTTGGTATATGCCACATTTGATGGACACTTGTGCAAGTGGTTTGCAGTTGGCTTCAAGGGTGGTTTTCCACAGCCTCATCGAGTTTGCAATGAAGGCTCTCAGAGTCCTGTTGATGTTATACATCTCTAAGCATTCAATGATCCAAGTATGCGGCATTGAGTCATAGGCTTTCTTGTAATCAATCCAAGCCATGCACAGGTTGGTGTGTCGGGTTTTGCAGTCTCGGGCAACTGTGCGGTCTACGAGGAGTTGGTGTTTGGCTCCTCTGCTATTTACACCGATACCCTTCTGTGCCGTGCTCATGTGTTTATCCATGTGTTTGCTTATCTTGGCCGCTATGATGCCTGACATGAGCTTCCAGGTTGTGGAGAGGCAGGTTATTGGTCGGTAGTTGCGTGGGACTGGACCCTTTGATGGATCCTTCTGGATTAGGATTGTCCGCCCTTCAGTTAACCATTCAGGGTGAGTCCCACTTTGTAGCAGCTGGTTCATTTGGGCTGCCATTCGCTCATGGAGAGCAGTGAGTTTCTTTAGCCAGTAGGCATGGATCATGTCAGGCCCTGGTGCTGTCCAGTTTTTCATACCTGAGACTCTTTCTTGGACATCTGTCACAGTGATGGTTACCGGGGCTTGCTCAGGGAGGTTGCTGTGGTCCTCTCGTAGAGAGGACCACAGCAACACAGCATTGCTGTTGTGGGACGCCTCCCTTTCCCATATGCCTTTCCAGTATTGTTCCGTCTCCAGCCTTGGTGGGTCTGCTCTGTTGTTATTGTTACCCTGCCATTGAGAGTACACCTTAGCTGGGTGGAGAAGAGCCGGTTAATCCTTCTGAATTCATTCTCCCTTGTGTATCTCTTTAGGCGGCTGGCCAAGGCTTGGAGCCTCTGTTTGGCAGTCTCGAGTGCTTCAGGTATGGGCATCTGCCTGTACTTTCTGGGTACTGGTCTTTTCATTGCACCCTTGTGGAGCTCTGACAGTTGTTACCTTGATTTTAGCCTCTAACCGTCTTTTCCATGGTGGGTATTGGGTCTCATGGTTGCTCTTATAGCCAAGTATCTCAAGGATCACTGATGCTGAGTTGTAGATCAGCTCATTGGTTTCTGTTATGGTGTTGGTAGGGATCGTTCTCAATGCTGCATTCACATTCTCAATTAGACTTTCAGATGGTACTTCTACAGCCGTTGTAATTGGCGCCGGGAGGCCTGGTTGTCATTCGGGTCATGATTCTCTCTCTCAGGTCAGCAGCTGTCTCGTTCAGCTCTGTTTCGCTCATTGGGGCCGTGTATCCCCTCACTGGGTGGGGACTTGTAGTTAAGTCCCCACAGTCCTGACATCCGGGTTCCTCCCTTTTGCCGTAGCATTTGTGTTGTATCTCGTCAATCTCAAGTTGTGATAGCAGTTGCCGTTTGCGGATGTTGGAACACTGAGCTACTAGTTGTTTAGCGCTTAGTGTTGACTGGGGATGTCGAAGTAACCATTCCTTCCCCAGTCTTTGCATGTAACCTCTCTCACTAGGGTTACTTGAGTAGTAGCATTCCAACAGATCCACATTTTCATCTCTCGCCCATTTCCGTCTTGTTCCAGTAGCCCATTTGTCATCAAGGTGCTCTGGTTCCCCAACACCTGACGCAGACCTTGTTTGGCCGGGCGACGTCTGAGCCGGCATGTTATGCAACTTAGTATCTCTCATGGTATGAGGTAGGCAGTAGCTTGAAGGGTCTTGCCTAAGGACCCAGACTGGATTCGAACCCTGCCCTCTCGGGTGATATACTGATGCCTTATGTATTGAGCTATCCAGTCAGCTATAACTATATATATATATATATATATATATATATATATATATATATAATATTCAGTAGAAATATTAAGAAGAGAAATAGAAGGGAAGAAATAATAATGATTAGATTAAGAGTAGGGCATACATATTTAAATGATACTTTATATTTAATAGGGAAGAAAAACAATGACATGTGTGAAGAATGTGGAGGGAAAGAAAACGTAGAACATGTGTTGATGAACTATAAAACATATGAACGTGAAAGGGAGAAATTGAGAAGAATAGTTGGAAGGACAGATCAAGAATGGAGTTTGAAAGGAAAACTGGGAAATGATGGAAATATAATGAATATTTTCATATTAAGGAAAGCACTATTTATTTATCTTCAAAATACTAAATTAAAAAATAGAATCTGACTGATGTAAAATACTGTTGCTGCACACTCGTGTACAGTAGGTGGCGGTATGCAGCTTAAAGTTGCTTGCGATCCGCCATAATAGAAAAGAAGAAGAAGAAGAATTTTAGGCTGTTGTTCTCTTCGTTGCATTCAGTTGTGGTTCTTTGAGCGCCTTCCTGACCCGGATGGCGAACGAGCGGCTCCGAGTCCTGGAGGAGGTGGAGAAGGACATCGCGGTGGTCCTGCAGTGCGCCGGTGAGGAAACATCTACAGGAAGAACAGGTCGCTGCTTCTGGGGCTTCCTGTTGTGTCTCGGTGGGATCCAACAGGGTTTGAGTTTAGTGTAGATTACAGAAAACCACAAAAATGAAGTCGGTTTGAAATGGCTAAAGTGTATTTTTTTCTCTACCTTCCGCATCTTTAATCGACTCTAGTTTAAAAACTACAACCTAGACTCTTCAAACCTGCACTGGATTATTCTGCCCTAATAACAATATCTAAAGCCCTGTTTGTGATTTGTGACACTTCAGCTAAGGGCGATTTGACCACTTTTCTGCATCATAACCCATAAACCTTTAGATGGATTGTTGATTAGGGCCGATTTCATTTTTATTTTTGGATTTGATGATGAGCTTTTCTTGAAGAAAGGTTGTAACATTTGCTCAGTGGATCATGAGATATGGCTCAATATAATCAGTAACCTGCCCAGGACAGTTAAAATGTTTAAAGCATCTAAAATGCCATTACCTGTTTCCTGTAATGATCACTACATTACAGTAGTGTCCAAGTGTACATTAGTAAATCCCCCCTCGCCCCCAAAAATAAAAAATTAAATCAAATTTTATTTGTATAGCACATTTCAGCAGCAAGGCATTTCAAAGTGCTTTACATCAAAAACACAAAGTCATGCAACATATAATAGACAATTCATTACGTATTACGTTTCAAAAACAATTCTAAACAGGTGTGCTTTTAGTTGAGATTTAAAGGAAGTCAGGGTTTCTGCTGTTTTACAGTTTTCTGGAAGTTTGTTCCAAATTTTTTGGTGCATAGATGCTGAAAGCTGCTTCTCCTCTCTTGGTTCTGGTTCTGGGGATGCAGAACAGAACCAGAACCAGAAGACCTGAGAGGTTCTGAAAGGTTGATACAACAACAGCAAATCTTTGATGTATTGTGGTGCTAAACCGTTCAGTGATTTGTAAACTAACAACAGTATTTTAAAATCTATTCTTTGAGCTACAGGGAGCCAGTGGAGATTAGTAGTGATACTTACTGATGTAGTAATGGTGTAGTGATGATGTAATGATCACTACTGAATTAGTAGTGATCATTACAGGAAAGGATCAGTACTAATCTGTAGTAGTAACGCACACCATGTTGCAGACAAACCCACATGGTGTGTCGGTCTGTCTGCCCTGACAGATGCGATACATAAAACTGGGCCGATATGATGAAAGAACATTTATTCCCATTTGTTTCCGGAGGAGCAGGTCGCATGTTGGTCGTGTGACAGTGATAGTGATGCAGCAGGATAACAGGCAGTTTAACTGAAGCAGAGAGGCAGGGTGAAGTCAGTGTTGTGCTCATTTTTCCCCCAAAATGTTGAAAAGGTAATGAAATGTTTCGAAACATTGTAAAAATCCAGGAGTTGTGAATCATTACTATTGATGAAATCATATGTATGTTCAGATGGCTTGTTTTTAAGACTTTATATAAAGAGTTTGGTTTTACACATTGGAATTATCTGCTTTCACGAAACTTGAGACTTGTGACTACCTTGTCACTTGGCATAGTTACTACTGCTGCTCATTAATGTTGGTATCGTGAATGCTCCTTTCATAAAGTAGCAGTGAATTTGTGTGTGATCTGTAATGATTTCTTCCGTCTGATCTTTACCTTTGACGGCAGGAAACATTGTTCTGGAGCTCTCCAAAGACAAACACAACGCCAGCCTCCTGGACAGGCAACTGGTCCAGTTCCAGACGTCAATCGGTCGAGTGGAGAATGAACTGGGCGCCCAGATCCGCTACCTCACACAGGTCAGAAGAAGAAAACTTGTTGCCTTTGGTCCATGTATTGCTGGTCATATTCTCAGGTCTGATTAAAATTGATTTGAATGTTTCTGTAAGAGTTAGCATGCTTTGCTGCACACCAATCTTTGAAAACCTGACCTACGGATACCGGGTTTTTGTTTGAAAAGTCCCATGTGTGCGATGGACTGGCGACCATTTGGTAACAGAAAGGTGTTACTTACACACTTAAAATACACATCAAGACATTGACTTGATGTAATCTGCTGGTTTTGCTTGGATAGAAACGTTTGAATCTACTTTGAGTTATTAATTGCGCTTACTGTACTGTTTGATAATTAGGATCATTTGCAATATATGTGTGATTAAATTATTCTTTTTTTTTTTTTTTTTTTTTTTGTAAAGTGTGTTCAGACAGTATTTTTTGCGAATGTACACTATAGAAATAAACTGAATTGATCATTTCGGCCAATCACATATTTCCCATAATTAAGGAAATCTGGCTCAATTTATCAGTGCAGTTCTCATGATAATACCTCCAGAGGTCTGAAACGAATTTCCAGCTCTGGTTTAAAAACAATCGTGTCATTATTGGAAGCAGCCCGGCCATGTTAACGTTGTTTTCCTCCCACCAGGTAGCTACTGGTCAGCCACACGAGGGCTCCACTTACTCAACCAGGAAGGACTGTCAGATGTCACTGAACAGAGCAGAGTATGCAAAGGTCAAGCTGGGAGAACTGGGCCGGACATGTGAAGCCATGCTGGAGCAGCAGCAGCAGCAGCAGATATGACAGAACATAATCGGTAACGTGGGACTGTGTGTCAGTATGGTGCCTAAAACTGTCGGAGTGATACAAACCAAGACGCTGGACTAAAGGCAGGCGTTGATTCGTCAATTAGTGGCATTTTTTTAAAACACAAACCTTTCATTTTGTAATTTTATGTTATGCAACATTCAATAAACTTGTACATTTCTGAACATCTCCTACATCCAAGTGGCAACAGTTCCTTTCTTGTGGGAGGGACTGCGACATCAACTGCTGGCTGAGAACTTCCTGTGTTCAAGTGATTCTCACCTCATTTCCAATGAAATACGATCCCGGTGAACTGAACTGTGGTCTGGTTAGCTTTTTATGTTTCATGTTACAAGAAAATGTATTTTGAGGGGGAGGGGTTCATTAAACCTTAATCAGCACAGAATAAGTAATTGACTGACAGTGTAATTATTACATTTTTACTAACAAATTCCAGTTTGAAGTTGGAAGCATAAATATGTCTGGCTTCAAAATCCAATATGGCTGCCTGGCCTATCTTTTTATCGTAATTTTTATGATTGGGCTGTTTATTTGCACTTTTAGCTATTTGAATCCTCACACATGATGAAAATTGTTTGCAAATCCAAAATGCAGAGAAATTCATGATTTTACTTAAAGCGTGGTCACCAGACATCCAGGAGCGAGACGTTTTGGAGCCCAATAAAAACAGTGAAAACTGCTTTTGATGTTTCCAAATGCAGGTTCTGACCTCAAAAGTGCAGTAAACAGAACGCAGCAGTTGTTTGAACAGCCTGTGTCGTGTGTACTGATATAATACCTAAAATGGATGAGCTGGGTTTCTTGGGTTTCTTTTCCCCAGGACGGATGGTTCTGTTTTCTTTTGTTCTGTTTTATCTGTTGCTTCCCTTTTTCTCCAGTGAGACATTTTAACACTGTACTGCGACATTCATATGTTCAGTAGTTTTATGACAACTGTACAATCAGGAGTTGTCATTAGCTCTGTTGCCTGGCAACAAGATTGCTGATTTGAATCCCAGCCACATTATCTATAATGTGAATCAATCTGTGGATAAAGTTATGAACTTAATCTGCTCAAATCAACAATCAGTTCTGTTCCAACACATAAGATGTCAGTTGGCTCCAGTATTGTGTGGGTGTGGCTCAGATCTTAAGTTTGAATTAGTAACTATTCCTCTTTGCGGCCCATCTGTGGTGTTCCTCAAAGCTCCGCTTATTTGTATGCTACCACTTGATCAAGCTATTTGCTAATATTTTTTAATTTGTATGCAGACGATGCTCAAATTTATTAGGTATTGATCCATATGACCTGCCGGTTCATGTCTCATTTTTTGCTTAATGCCTGATAAGTTTTATTGTTAAACAATGACAAAGCCATTGTGTAACAGAGATGCTATTGTTCAGATTTTTAACTCTTCAATAGGGCTGATCTGTATTAACTGTGATGAAATAATCATCAGCCTTTGCTACAAACGATTAAGCCTCCAGGAAACAAATGTTCCATTTTAGGCAATAAAGTTTTACTGAAACAAAACAATAGAAATATTTGCACCCATGAGATTCTTATGATCCCAAAACATTGTATTAAAATTGTTTTATCAGATTAGGAGTTTTACCAAAATAAGATCAATGATGTGTTTTGCTGATGCTTTAAAGTTCATTAACACTTGTCTTGATTTCTGTCCGTCTCCAGTTACTACAGGATCCATAGATCACTCCAGTTCCCTGTGATGTCAGTTAAATTCATGTTTGGGTTTATCACTGCATGACTTGCACCAGCTCATAGTAAGGTAGTTATTCTTTACACCCTCTGAGATCATCTGACTACTTTCTGTGAACTGAGCAGGATAAGTCGAGGTTATGGAAAACACAGCCAGTGAACATTAGACAAACCTTTGTGCTATGACTTTTATCCATTTGAGTTTACAACATAAAGCATTTTAACTGTTTTGAAAGGTACCATTCACATGTGACGGTAGGAAAAAGGCCCATAGCCTGTTGGTGTGGTCAGAACCCCCATTTCTAAAATGATTCGGACCGATGAGGACAGCAGAAACAGCTTTGTAAAAGCCAGATGGTTCCAAATCTTCCATCATTTAGCTAACATAACTACAGATTCAAGAGAAGATTTGGATTAAAACATTTAGGCTTTTCAATGCAGAAACCTTTATTTTTTTTTTTTTAAAGACCATTAAAATAAATACTTTACAGAATCCAATGTAGAAAACTCGATACACTGTCTCAAAAAGGTTAACACCCCATAATGTAATTTGAAGCAATGAGAGGAGTAGATGGGGGTAATAAAGAAAAACATGGCCAGCACTTTAATGAAGCTTATTGAAAATGTTGGTGACACAATGGCCTTTTCTCCAATTATATGTAGTTTGGTCCTTTCATGCCACTTTCCACCACCTCCCCCCTTAAAAAATAACAAACAAAACAAAGAAAAGCTATGAGAATGAGAAAGGCATTAAAGTGTAAATCCACCAGGTCCTCAGCATTCCTCTAATCTAAACCTTTTGCCTGGAGCTTCTCTAAACATGGCCGTCTGTTGCTCGTCCTGAATGCCGAGTCATTACACTGAAGGCTGAAGAAATACTGCCCTGGTGAAGAGCTGCTCCATCCTTTCACCTGAATGGCACCGAGCCGTTCAGAACAAGCAGCAGGGGATCAGCAAGAGGATCCACAAACCGCAACACGTCGGCGATGAGTCGCTGCCGTCATGCTGCTGATCGCTCGACCTCAAAGTAACAGATTTCAGAGGAAACGCCAATGAACCAAAGATCGCTTTTATCAATGTATTACAGATGAAGGCAGTTCTGATCTGAAGGAGAGTTCAGCTGATGCATGGAGGTCTATGACAACTATGGTGAACAGATGAAACAGTTCATTAAGCTATCCTTCCAAATAGGCAAAAGATAAAAAATAAAATAAAATAAAAAAAAACACTTTCAAATATTTGGATTACAGATCAGTGAGATTCATTGAAGTTTAAAATTTCGATCACATAGCAAAAACAGGACTTCACTTCTAAAATAAGCAGGTTGGGTGGATGTTGGGTATGGTGGAGCTAGATGAGGTCAGCCACATTCATGGGCATCTCTTCCACGGTGGTGTTGTAGAATGTTTCAATATCTCGCAGGGTTCGTTTGTCGTCCTCAGTCACCATGTTGATGGCTACTCCTTTCCTGCCAAAGCGGCCGCCACGACCAATCCTGACCCAAGACCAAACAGTCAAAGCTTTAGCAACTCAGAAAATGCACTCATGTAAATCTACATCAGTTTTCCATCAAGTTTCCAATGAGGTTGACTTGACTGAGCTGTCAATCACCTGTGAATGTAGTTTTCTCTGTTGGTTGGCAGGTCATAGTTGATAACCAGGGACACCTGCTGAACATCAATCCCTCTGGCCTGAAGGGGAAACAGCAAGTATTAAATGCACAAGAGAAAAGCCAACAGTCTTGTACAATCTGAATTCAAAGGGGAAAAGAACAATTACAAATCAAAGTAGGCCTGTAACCTGCCATTTAGTTGTGAATCAAAGACTTGAACTAAGCTACAGTGGAGGGCAGGAGAGTTTCTATACCAAGGAACTTTCAGTCCTTCACCAACACAGCAGCTGGAAGGAGAGGGAACCTTGGACCGCTCGCAGGACTGAAACTAGAAGCTGAACAACCTGCTGGATCTCTTAAAAACTACTGAACCAGAAACAAATACGATCAGACTGCAGCCAGACATACCAGCAGGTCAGTGGTGATCAGAACTCTACTGGAACCAGAGCGAAACTCCCTCATGATCAAGTCTCTCTCCTTCTGGTCCATGTCGCCGTGCTGGAGGAAGAGTTGGAAGCACAAGTTAAGGATGCAGCTGATCAGAGCGCTGACAGACGGACAGGCGGCTGCAGGCCTACCAGAGCAGAGACGGTGAAGTCTCTGGCATGCATCTTCTCAGTCAGCCAGTCTACTTTCCTCCTGGTGTTGATGAAGATGACGGCTTGTGTGATCGTCAGGGTTTCATACAAGTCGCACAGTGTGTCCAGCTTCCACTCCTGCAGACAGAGTCAAACAGGGCCTGTTAATTACTGGTCTCTTGCATCAGAGCTTCATCTGGACTTCTATTCTGGCTCGGTTCCATGCTCTCGAGCAGCAGCAAGACTTGTGCTTCACCACTGTGTTTACAATCCAATAAAGCTCCAAATTCAGAGTTTGTGTTGTACCAAAATGCTTAAATCAGCAGCAGTGACGGTCTCTGGACAGTGAGCTACTACAGCCTCACTGTCCACAGGACCCAACTGATCCTCACTCTGGATGTGGTCTGCAGCAGAACCGATCCGGGCCAGAGGTGAAAACTAAAGCTGTTCACCCAACAACAAATTTGCACTTACCCATGATGGACACAAAAGCTTGGTAGCAAGCTTGTTAGCTAGTTACCAGTAGCCTTAACTGCTAATGAATTAAAATGAGCTTTATCATTTTGAATATTTTTGGAAGAGCAGTTTTGTTCACAGACTTCACAAGAAATTTTGCTTATTACTTTTGGTTGTGTTTTATTTTAGATATTTGAAATATTGTCCAGTTCCAGTTTTAAGTGTTCTTTACAGAATAAAATCCATTTGGTCTGAATAGGCAATTGTTATGCCATGAGAAATATTTTACTTGAAAATAGTCTCCAAAAAACATTAATCACAATGACTACCAGAACAGTTTACCATCCAACATATTTTATCATGGCATGTCATCGGACGACTCAAACTTTTAAGCGCCTACCTGGAATATACAAGACTAATTAATTCTGCTATTTTAATACCAATGATTAACATATTTTAAGCAAACGTCCTTTTTCTTTTCTTAAGTGAGACAGTTGGTGTCAATTTTAGATCCATATAGTTAAGATAGACTTTAAAGGTGTGGACAGCCTGAATCAGCCAGAGCGTTTTGAATGACTGATGCAACATTAGGCCTCGTCAGACTGACTGCACAATGTACGGAAATGTCACCTCTTTCTCCACATTGATGTAGAACTGGCGAATTCCCTCCAGGGTCAGCTCCTCCTTCTTCACCAGGATCCGGATGGGTTCCCGCATGAATTTCTTTGTGACGTCCAAAACATCAGCTGGCATTGTGGCTGACAGGAGGACGACCTGCACATAAAGTTTTCAGTCAGCTGCGCACCTCACAAGATGAGCAACAATCAGTC